ATACAGCGGTGGTTTCATTTTTCTTTCTGAACTAGGGATAAATACAGCGGTGGTTTCATTTTTCTTTCTGAACTAGGGATAAATACAGCGGTGGTTTCATTTTTCTTTCTGAACTAGGGATAAATACAGCGGTGGTTTCATTTTTCTTTCTGAACTAGGGATAAATACAGCGGTGGTTTCATTTTTCTTTCTGAACTAGGGATAAATACAGCGGTGGTTTCATTTTTCTTTCTGAACTAGGGATAAATACAGCGGTGGTTTCAGTTTTCTTTCTGAACTAGGGATAAATACAGCGGTGGTTTCAGTTTTCTTTCTGAACTAGGGATAAATACAGCGGTGGTTTCAGTTTTCTTTCTGAACTAGGGATAAATACAGCGGTGGTTTCAGTTTTCTTTCTGAACTAGAGATAAATACAGCGGTGGTTTCATTTTTCTTTCTTAACTAGGGATAAATACAGCGGTGGTTTCATTTTTCTTTCTGAACTAGGGATAAATACAGCGGTGGTTTCATTTTTCTTTCTGAACTAGGGATAAATACAGCGGTGGTTTCAGTTTTCTTTCTGAACTAGGGATAAATACAGCAGTGGTTTCATTTTTCTTTCTGAACTAGGGATAAATACAGCAGTGGTTTCATTTTTCCTTCTGAACTAGGGATAAATACAGCGGTGGTTTCATTTTTCCTTCTGAACTAGGGATAAATACAGCGGTGGTTTCATTTTTCCTTCTGAACTAGGGATAAATACAGTGGTGGTTTCATTGTCCCTTCTGAACTAGGGATAAATACAGCAGTGGTTTCATTTTTCTTTCTGAACTAGGGATAAATACAGCAGTGGTTTCATTTTTCTTTCTGAACTAGGGATAAATACAGCAGTGGTTTCAGTTTTCTTTCTGAACTAGGGATAAATACAGCAGTGGTTTCATTTTTCTTTCTGAACTAGGGATAAATACAGCAGTGGTTTCATTTTTCCTTCTGAACTAGGGATAAATACAGCAGTGGTTTCATTTTTCCTTCTGAACTAGGGATAAATACAGCAGTGGTTTCATTTTTCCTTCTGAACTAGGGATAAATACAGCAGTGGTTTCATTTTTCCTTCTGAACTAGGGATAAATACAGCAGTGTTTCATTTTTTCTTCTGAACTAGGGATAAATACAGCAGTGGTTTCATTTTTTCCTTCTGAACTAGGGATAAATACAGCAGTGGGTTTCATTTTTTCCTTCTGAACTAGGGATAAATACAGCAGTGGTTTCATTTTTCCTTCTGAACTAGGGATAAATACAGCGGTGGTTTCATTTTTCTTTCTGAACTAGGGATAAATACAGCGGTGGTTTCATTTTTCCTTCTGAACTAGGGATAAATACAGCGGTGGTTTCATTTTTCCTTCTGAACTAGGGATAAATACAGCGGTGGTTTCATTTTTCCTTCTGAACTAGGGATAAATACAGCGGTGGTTTCATTTTCCCTTCTGAACTAGGGATAAATACAGCAGTGGTTTCATTTTTCCTTCTGAACTAGGGATAAATACAGCGGTGGTTTCATTTTCCCTTCTGAACTAGGGATAAATACAGCGGTGGTTTCATTGTCCCTTCTGAACTAGGGATAAATACAGTGGTGGTTTCATTTTCCCTTATGAACTAGGGATAAATACAGTGGTGGTTTTATTTTTCCTTCGGAACTAGGGTTAAATACAGCGGTGGTTTCATTTTTCTGAACTAGGGATAAATACAATGGTGGGTTCATTTTCCCTTCTGAACTAGGGATAAATACAGTGGTGGTTTCATTTTCCCTTCTGAACTAGGGATAAATACAGTGGTGGTTTCATTGTCCCTTCTGAACTAGGGATAAATACAGTGGTGGTTTCATTTTTCTTTCTGAACTAGGGATAAATACAGTAGCGGTTTCATTTTTCTTTCTGAACTAGGGATATATACAGCAGTGGTTTCATTTTTCCTTCGGAACTAGGGATATATACAGCAGTGGTTTCATTTTTCCTTCGGAACTAGGGATAAATACAAAGGTGGGTTTATTTTTACTTCTGAACTAGGGATAAATACAGTGATAGTTTCATTTTTCCTTCAGAACTAGGGATAAAAACAGTAGTGGTTTCATGTTTCCTTCTGAACTAGGGATAAAAACAGTGGTGGTTTTATTTTTCCTTCGGAACTAGGGATAAATACAGCGGTGGTTTCATTTTTCTGAACTAGGGATAAATACAATGGTGGGTTCATTTTCCCTTCTGAACTAGGGATAAATACAGTGGTGGTTTCATTTTCCCTTCTGAACTAGGGATAAATACAGTGGTGGTTTCATTGTCCCTTTTGAACTAGGGATAAATACAGTGGTGGTTTCATTTTCCCTTATGAACTAGGGATAAATACAGTGGTTGTTTAATTTTTCCTTCTGAACTAGGGATAAATACAGTGGTGGTTTCATTGTCCCTTCTGAACTAGGGATAAATACAGTGGTGGTTTCATTTTCCCTTATGAACTAGGGATAAATACAGTGGTGGTTTCATTTTTCCTTCTGAACTAAGGATAAATACAGTGGTGGTTTAATTTTTCCTTCTGAACTAGGGATAAATACAGAAGTGGTTTCATTTTTCCTTCTGACAGTTTGTATACGGATTGACTCTAATAGCAGGTCTCGTAACAGACAGACCCTGCAAAACAGCAGGGAGAGAGATTATGTATGATACCCCTTGTCCGCTGATAACCTTGTCACCAAGTTTTGAAGTATTGTTGTTAAAAATCATTAAATCCAAGACTCACTGGTCATTTTAGACATATTTTTATTTTTAGTAATAACTTTGTTGTAGTAGGCCTTTCATCTAACTTAACTTTTTGTTGTAGTAGGTCTTTCTAATTTCCTTTCATTAAGATATTCAGTTTTAAAATTCTTTAAAAGAAAGTAAAGGACCCTTTTGATATTTTTGGCACATCGGATATGTAGTCTTCTTCTTTATGTCCTCTTTTACTGCTTCAGGTGTTGAGGGAGATATAAGGTCCTGCTTTGAGCTTTTCTGGCTGCTTTAAACAAAAACATATCGTGGTACTGTAGAGTTTCTCTAATATTATCCTTCCATGTTGTTCTTGGTCTACCTCTTGCTCTATGACCCTCTCCTCTTTTGGTATATGCCTTGAATGGTATCATAAGGCATTCTCTCCAAGTGGGCAAACCATTTGATTTGCTGTCTTTCTATGTAATTTAGAATAGGTTTTGTGCTGACTTTATCACGCATTACCTCTTTCCTGGTTTTATCTCTTCTGGTCACTCCTACAGCCTTTCTCAGACCCCTCATTTCCATGGTTACAAATTTTCTTTTATGTTTTGTTGTGAGTGACCATGTGGTGCTAGACCAGTTTTTTTATAGGCTAAATGTTACTAAATGGGTGATGTGGTCAACATCAATTTGGTCACCTTTACTTCCAAGGACATTATCTTGTAACCAGTTAAGACTGGGGTGACCTGGCAGTAAATCTGCCTTGTTATGAAATTTGAACTTCAGATCTTCAGCCTAGAAGGAGAACATCTAGACACAATAATGCACTAGCTTCCCGTTAACATTTGATGATAAATAAAAAATTCAAGGTAAAGAAAGACGATCACAAACAACTACATCAAGGCTTTGCTGGTTTTTTTTTTGTTGTTGTAGAAAAAAGGTCTGGTACTCACTGCAATGTGTCTAAAAAAAGTGCTGGTATTCACTACAAAAATATTTATTACAATAGTGTTTTAAACAAATTATGCCTACAAAATGGTGCCGGTACTGTGAACCGTTGTGTATCACCCAAAAAACAAAAAAAAACATGATTTTATTAGGAATCAAGATGAAACTAAAATGTGTTGAAAGTGAGAGGATCAAATTCACCGCGGTTCAGTTTCCCTGCAAAGTATTATTTCTGTGTACATGACTGAGACTGCCTGTTAACCCCACTAAGACATCACACAGAGCGATAAACACCCAGTAACACAAAGTGACACCATTCGGGTGAGGATCACCTCTGGAGAGGTCCAGAAACCCCGTTCAACCGCCGGGTTATATTAGGGCCCCCAGCAACAACCAGGGTGGGGCTTCAAAAGAACAAAAAAATGTTACCCATATGGGGATGTGACAATTCATTTATTTCTTTACATCTGTGTTAGACTAAATAAAAAGCACAGTCAGATCTTGGTTAGAAAACAAGATTACCATCAACTCAGAACATTTGTACTCAAATGAAATTTTTTTTTTTTTAAATTAATGAGGAAGTCATGTTTGAATTTGGTGAATTGGTTGAATATATGAGGCTGTCATTATAATCAATGTTGAAGTAAAAGCAAGAAATAAAGATTAAAAAAAAACAAAAGCAACAATTTGTTTTAGATGACTAGTTAATTTTGTTTGAATACCTCATGTCTTGAATCTCAGACATCACAATAAATGGCAGTAACATAAAGGGAGATAATTAACTAAAATTTCTAGGAATTATGTTTGACAGGAATCTGTCTTTTACGTGGACGAAACAGTTTTAAAGACAGGGACAGGACTCAGTACTTTGAAGGCGAAGTCAACAACAGACACGGAACAGAATATGCTCCTTACAAGGCTCTTTTTTGAGAGAGTGAACGGAGCGAAGGCACAAAAAGATCGTTACGGTCTGTGGAGAATGGTGCGGCGAGAATTTACCGGGGGATCTGGCCGGCGCTCAACACTCAAGGTAAAGGTGCACAATCAGACAGTTACTGGTACCATCAGAATTGGAACTCTTTGACTGCTGCTGAAGATGGAGACGGAGCGCTTATGGGAGTGTCCCTAGTGATTTAATGACAATTCCTAATTCAATATTCAACTTTTAACTATCAAATGCCACTGACAATGGTTTACTAAACTTCATTTAAGCTGTTAAAATTGTATTGGATAGGACACTAATAGGCTGTGTCAATAAATTCAAATTTAACAGTAAATAGATCACAATCATCAAACAGATGATAGACTGGTTTGTACACAAATGCCATATCTTACCTGTCATAATCCATGATTGTGTTCAATCTGTGAGCAATTGTGAGTACTGTGCAATCCTTGAACTCGGTTCTAATAGTTTGTTGAATCAGATCATCGGTCTCCATGTCAACAGCTGCTGTGGCTTCATCAAGAACCAAAATTTTAGTTTTGCGTAGCAAGGATCTGGCTAAACACACCAGCTGCCTTTGGCCAACACTGAAGATGAACAATATCTGATGAGTTTTATCGTGAAATCTTAGGTTAAAGGTTAAAGTATAGAGGACTGCCTTCATCACCCCGGTTTTATCCAGTATGATTCAGTCTCTCTTAACAGAATGACTAACTGTCTGCTGAGGACATCACACAAAGCATGAACCCCATAGCTCCAGCAATAATCACCAAGAAAAGTAAAGTAAAGTAACGATCACCAAGAAAAGTAAAGTAACGATCCCTTTTCACACCTTAGGTGCATCGGGTATATGGGAAGAGAGTCCCATATTTTTACAGACCAATCAGCACTGGATGGGTAATGTGGTCAGCATTACGCCGACCGTCTTGACTTCTCCAGGACAGCCTTCCTGGAACCCATTTTAGGCTGGGTTGAGCTGCGACGCCCCATACCATGATAAAAATTCACGCAGCCACCAGTGGGTTTGGACCGCAGTACGTTAGATTACGAGTCGGACTCGCAACGCTTAAGCCACGGACGCCGCAATATAGATTAGTTGCGTATCCTTTACAGGACGTTGCAGAACCAACCACAACAGCCCCTGGCTGAATGATTTTACTATACTAATTATTCAGTATGTAATCTGTTCATCCTAAGTCCTGGTTGTTTGCACTCATTTTTGCCACCCAATCAACAGCTTTACATAAGAGCAGGGTTTTGTGGTATGCTAGGGTAGGCGGGGAGTAAAGGTCCCTTTTCCGTGTGAACTGGGCATATAGGGCTTGACTTATATTTCATAAGCACTTGCTGTGTGATATGGTCAACATCTCTCCAGCCATCTTTACTTCCCAGGACTTTACCTGATACTCACTTAAGGATGAATCGACCTTGGAGCTAAGGACATTTTTGAAAAGACACAACCTTCTGATCTGCATGCGAGCATGGTACACAGTGCTGATATCTTTTTAAGCAAGATTTTTCTTTAAGAGCTACTGTCATAGACACTTTGTTGTGAGAACCCACACTTTTTTTAAGGAACATTGTGGTGAATACAAGTACGAATTTTTTCACAAGCATCAATGGAAACGAAAGGGCTGATAAGTTGGCAGGATCCATTGTCACTGCTAAAGGTCAACTCATGGATCAAGCTGATATTATTAAAGAGAAGTGGGAAGGGTGGAGGACCTTAGAGAAAGTGATTCTACATCGCTCACCAGAATGAGAGACTCTAAAGTTAAGATCGGCATAGCTAAAAGTGAGAAACACACCGAGCATACAAAAAGACTTATTAATCAACAAAGAACTGGCACTATTAGTTACAGGATGTTGAGGTTCATATTAAGGAAAGGATATGTATGAGCGCCTGTGGACATGTCCGGAGTGCAATGATCATATCCCAACTTACTAACTAATTAACTAACTAACTAACTAACTAACCTATTAGTTTTATAGAAAAACTGTGCATAAGAGGGAAACAAAAGAAATGGGTCAATTTCATGGAACAGACCCACTACCTCTTAATAAGCATGTCATTAAAGACAACTAATTAGGAGTTTATGGAAATCAGTAGTGTTGGCCTAGCTGTAAACCTCATCACAATGTGCAAATCACTACTGTTTTTGGACTAAAAAGGATACCATCTTTAAACTTACAAAAAAAAAAAAAAAAAAAGAACTGATGTCTGTTGAAAAAAATGTATGTGACTGGCACCTTTCCTTTGTTATATTTCACCATGAGGAGGCATGGGACTCACAGTCCATGGCAATGATGAGTGTGACTAGCAAGACCTGCCCACATTAAGAAGAGTCTTCCACAACTATAGCATGTGATTTCAGGACCGTTGTCAACATCTATGCTGAGTCTATTTCTTCTCAGACATTCACCTCTCATCCATTCTGCAATAATTTCTTCCTTCATTCTCATTCCCTTTCTGATGTACCCCCTCCACACAACATGGTCCATGGTATTCCCCCCCCCCCCCTTTTAATGAGTCCACCTCAATACCTGTAACATTCATGTCCTGCTATCACACATTTTTATATCATAGTAAAGGTCAGCCTCAACATCTTCTACCCACCTTTAATTCACCATAAAGGGTGTCGTTTAAAAAAAAAGATACATACTGTCTTCACTTTAACCAGGGATTATACAGTGAGTTACATTGTACAAGAGTGTTTTAATCTCAGAAGCTTTCATACAAGACTACTTTCATACAAGACTACTTTCATACAAGACTACTTTCATACAAGACTACTTTCATGCAAGACTACTTTCATGCAAGACTACTTTTTTACAACACGTCCAGTCATTGTTTATGGTGTATCTAGTGCTCCACTGATAAACATTTTAGTCAAAACTTTCAGTTATATTTATGAATAAAGCAGTACAACCTGTTTGTTGGTAAGTTGGAACTGTGACTAACGAGTCATGATTAATGAATTATTATGATTAATGAATTAGTTTCATTGCTTACCTGAGGTTCTGCCCTCCCTCACCACATTCATAGTTCAATCTTCCATTAGCCTCCTCAACAAAAGATTTTAGGTTTGCATGCTCCAGCACTCTCCAGAGTAAGTCATCAGTATAGATATTGAAGGGATCCAAGTTCATTCTCAAGGTACCAGAAAACAGAACAGGATCCTACAGAGAAAGAAAAAGATACCTGTGTACATGGGCTTTCAATTTGTTATGTCGTCTTCAGCTGATTTCATGTTCTAGTGTAATTTTTAGACTTGGTTGTGGCTGTTTACATTTTCCACCTAAGCTGGTTTGTTTGTTTGTGTTTGCTTTTTTATATATATATATATATATATATATATATATATATATATATATATATATATATATATATATATATATATAATATATATATAAAAATCAATGTTTGTGTGTTTGTTTCACCCCTATAGACTCGGAAACTACTGAACCGATTTAGCTGAAATTTTCAGGATATGTTTGTTGTGATACCGGATTTTGAACTGTCGTGGTTTGAAATTCAACCTGTCACTGTTAGAGATAGGTGACCACAATTTATGCTAAAATATACGCAACTAATATTTATAACTTTAGTGATTTCTAATTATAGCCACGTTAGTAATTGCGCATGCGCCGTATTTACCATTTGCCGGCGAGTTACGTGCAGCCAACGCTTTCTCTAATACTAATACATAGAGTAGGTCGTGGTACAGCAAACAAGACTATCTCTATATTTGCCACAATAACCATATTAAACACGATTTCTATTTTCTTTTTTTTTTTCAAACAACCTTCGATGGGGGGGGGGGGCAATCAAGGACTATCTCGACGTCGGCACAGACAGTGACTGCGACATTAACTTGATTAACCGTGTTAGACACGTGCGATTTCTATTTCATTAATATATCTGGAGTATCTGTCTACGAGAAAACAATTGCCTGCGGTTTTGAATTGTGTTTTAATCGCGACACAGTAGTATGGACTCACATGTCTAATAGTTGAGTTCTCTTTTCGTTGTTCCGATTAAGTGGCTGCTTGGTCAAATGGTTAGAACATTGGGTTCATGTGCGGTAGACCTGGGTTCGAATCCGCAGTCGTTAAATTTTTTTTTTTGCCCCGGACTAAAATAATATCCTCATCTGCTCTGCCGTGGTGACAGCACTAGCCATGTTGCCTTAATATTAAAAAAAAAAAAAAACAAGTAAATGGGTAAACCATTTGATAATTAAATTTGACCATTTCGCATACTTATGATTGCATTGTTAAACTTTCCGATTGCATGGTTACGCTGAAATTTTATAGATTTTCATTTATTTTCATTTAGATTTAGTTATTTCATCTGTGTTGAAATTTTTAAGCTGTGCTGTTTACAATGGCGTTCATTTCCTAATTATGGTGTTTTTTTCCTGTGTTCGTTTGCTTTTCAAGTGTTTTTTTTTTTCTCCCAACTACTTCAATGAGGGAAAGAGTTGTCGGTGATTTGGGGGGGGGGGGGCGAGGGTGGGGGGGGGGCAAACTATTAACTGAGAGAGCTTTAAGTCACAGTAACTGCTTTACCCACTTAAAGAAGCAGCAGCAGTAATAGTTGTTACACCAGGGCTGTTACACCATAGTGCTCTCATGTGAAGAGACGCCGGTAAGGTTTATGGCGTTCTTCTGTCGGCAAGTGAAATTATACATCCTAACCTGACCAGTCTGTGGCGACAGCACTAGCCATGCGGAACCAAATCTTCTGGCTCACGACTCTCTGTCTACTCCGATGGTAACACAGATAGCAGTGACATTATTTTAATAGTTGTACTGGTACTTGAAGGATGATGTGGTAAATATTACACTAGCCCTATTCACTACCTTTTACAATTCCTGCTCCCTATTTTTAGTCCAGATGGACAGGGATGTCAATGTCAGTTACAGCAACAACAAAATATCGCCAGTTAGTGATTTTCAAATCCTTCGAAGAGGGAGAGAGCAGTAGTCGGTGGAAGAGGGGAGGGGGTAATGACTTAAATTTAAGAGAAATTAAAGAGCTTTACACTTGATTTTCAAGTTCTCATTGCCTAATTTGTTTATATTTTACTAACTCTACCTCTGCTTTTCTATTTTTTACGACTTACTTTGTTATTCACAAGTACAGTTGTAGCTTTACTTCCGTCCCCTATACAAATACAAACAGCTTTAGCATGTGGTAACCAAATAACCATTTTTGTTACTGTGCTAATAACACCATTTAAACAACCACTAATATAAAAACACAATTATAAGGTGCGTGTTCTAAAGTTGGAAAACCAGACTATCGCTATATCCGTGCAGAGAATGATTGCGACATTAACTGTATTCGACACGTGCGATTTCCATTGTCTTTCTTTTCCAAAAACCTTTGATGAGGGAGATAGTAGTAGGTGGATTTAGTTGTGGTGGTGGGCGGGGATCAAAGACTATCTCTATATCCGAGCAGACAATGATTGTATTAGACACGTGCGTTTTCTATTTTCTTTCATTTCCATTTAGCCAAACTATGCCACAGCAACGCGTGGCCGGGTACAGCTAGTCTATATATATATATATATATATATATATATATATATATATATATTTTTTATATATATATATATATATATATATATATATATATATATACATACTGGGATGAGGTTAGTCCTTAGTCAAGGTCCTAACTTTACTCTAGATGAGTTGCCTAATAACCAATCCATTCCTGTGCCAGTCAAAATCACACAAATTGTCCTTCACTTCCAGAAAAGTTTTGATGTTTGCATATGCAAAGTAAATGCATAAGATAGCCATCAGATGTGCTAACACTAACAGTCCCACACCAGAATTGCAGCTCACTGTTTATGCAAGCAGTTGACTAAGAAACATCTATTCTCTATTGCATTTCAACTGGCCTACAAAAATGTAAGTATAGCATTATATGCCTGAGAAAGGTTCATTAATACTCTACAACACAGCATGGGTCCCTAGTTTGATAAGACCTGTGGACCTCCCTCTTATTTGTGAAGTTATCCCATGAACACCATACCTTTTCAAAGGTCATATTGAAATAACAAGAGTAAATCAATATTAGAATTATAAAGAAAAGGGGGAGGGTGTAAGTTTTCCAAATGATATAAACAGCATAAATTTGTTTCAACAAACTTTGGGCATTCGTGGGCCACCAGATGGTAACCATTGCTAAAGAGTGACAATCTGTGAGTCCTTATAAGGTAAAATAATATAACCATGTGACAGAGAGAACTGCCTCATCTGTTAGGGGCCTGCATATGCTACAGGTGCAGCCAGACCGCCATCTGGCTACTGTACGCAAACCAAAGAATGAGAGATTAGTCATTGGGACATGGAATGTAAGAACACTCATGCAAGTAGGTAAACTAAAAAACGTCAAGAGTAAAATGAAAGGTTTAAATGTAAACATCTTGAGATTGTATGAAACAAGACATACTGGAGCAAGGGAAAAATAATAATACCTAACTGTAAATACTGTATACCTGAGGTAAGATAGTAAGCTTGGACCTCAGTTCATGCAGCCCAATCTCGCTGATGTCAACATCATCAATGATGATACTGCCACTGGAAGCTTCTATCAGACGGAATAATGCAACTGTCATGGAGGATTTTCCTGCACCAGTTCTGCCCACAATGCCTACCTGAAACATAATTAGTAATGCTGTTAAAAAATATTAGATACTTTCATAATTTTTATTATGTGCTTGCAGATAAGTATAGGCGGTCATGTTTGTTATATTACAATCACCATAATCATGGATCAGGTCAGTGTTCTTGTCATGCCGTATCAAAATAGCTAAGCCAACTAAGCAATATCTTACTCCATTCCTCTTGCTCTTATTTTATCAATCTTGCTAGTTTCAACCAGGTTCTTGAGTATATTCCTCCTCATAAAATGTCTGCATAACACAGATCAGTTTGCTTCTAATTTCTAATCAATTTATGCTCTTCATCTATCTAAAAGAGGGCTGCTCCATCTATCTTTCTTTAATTCCATGATATTCTTTGCATTCTTCTAATTCTTCTACATACTGTTCATTGTTTGTTGTTCATTTAAAGATCATCTTCATCGCACATCAGACATGTGCATATGTGCAGCAATCTGCTCCTGAGTATGTCTCCAAGTGTTTTTAGGCTAATAACTCCAATTCTGTTCTGGTTGATCTCAAAACTGGTGACTCCTGGGTAGTTTTCCTGTCTCGCTGCTTCAACTGGTTTCTACATACTGGAAAAGCTCAAACTGGACAGATGATAAGATATTAAAAAAAAAGGTAAACAGAACATTAAAAAACAGACAATTCTGACTATGATGGCCAAGTGGCTTGCATGTTGATTAATGGTTAAACTTATTAAATCTTTCAGCCCCAAAAAACATATGATGTATGATTTGGTCTTCTGTGAATATATTCTAATTTTTCTTCTTCTTCAGCATTCCGAGCCCTTGAGGTTTATTGCTGCAGATATCACCCGCCTCTATTCATGCTGTTGATTTCCATCAATATTTATTATAATTATTTTTATAATTATTGCAACAGGTATACACACTTAGAGCACATTGTTGCAAAGATGTTGTTGATGATGCCTATTTATACTATTATTATTATCTTCTAAAACAATGTGTGCATGAATAATGTATGCATGGCATGAGGCCAGAAGGGCAGAATGTAAGACGGGCCTGTGTGCCCAATTCTTAACCCTTAAAAAAAAAAAGTCTTTTTATTTGTTCGTTCTCTGGTTGGCCTTCTCTTTCCAGTTGGTGACACCAAGTATTTGCAGGTCTGTCTGGATATTATCTCTCCATCATCTTCTTAGTATGCCTCGTGGTCTAGACCATTCATCTCCCTCGTGTATACAGTTTTTACTTCTCTGTCATCTGACATTTTTTCAATATGCCTCAGCCATATCAGTCTATTAGCTCTCATGATGCCGGTGATCAGTGGTGATTTAAACAGATTATGAATTTTGTTGTTGCTTCTCACTCTCAATTCACCACTGTTTGCATTTTGGATGGGTCCAAAGATTCATCGTAAGACTGTTTTCAAAAACCTGTAATAAAGAGCTTCTATATCAACACTGTATTGACAAAAGCCACTGCTGCCAATCCAGTAATGGATCATGAACTGTTCCTTCCCATGACACTTAATGTGTCAAAAGTGGAAACTTATGATGACGATGTATGGCAGTTTTTATTTTTTTTATTTTTTGACAGTGTGATATACTCAGAAAAACCCTGCTATAAATTATTTGAGTATCAGGTTGGATAACAATCACATTATATCCTAAGAATTTATTATTTTAACTAATAAATGTTTGAGCCAAAAGGAGATAAAATAATAACAATATGAGAAAGAAGGACATAAAGCTACAACTAAGGCAGAGTCAGTTAACGTATTTTATAGGTCAGGGAAAAGATGATTAATAAGTGTATATAATGTAAGACAGCTCATCAGGTTTGAGGTTTGAACAATGGATCAACATCATGGCACATGGGTAGTAACCCATAAGTGCTCCGTTTTTCTTCTAACTCAAGTCTGAGTCCAAAAAAAGCTCTGCATAGTGCACAGGCTCTGTAGCACTGACAAGGATGCCGAAATACTTTGGGTAGATTTTTAACTCCACATTTTGCCCAGACAGCACCGTTAGGCTACTTGTTTCTATTTCCAACTGCCAAGGGATTTTTTTACATGCACAACAATGCAGACGGGCATCCAATCTCCTACACAGAGACCAGGAGGAATTACTAAAAGTCTGAGTCCATTTGAAAAAATTCTAGCCCTTATCCTGTATCAAACCTGGAACATCTAGCACTTGAGGCAAACACCATGTCTCAAGACCACGCAGCCCCCCCCCCCACCCCCAGCTCAACAAACGCATGGTAATTTGCTTGGCATTGCATAAGTTAAGCCTACCTTCTCTCCTCCTTTAATCTGGCAGCTTATACCCTTTAAGACCAAATCAAGACCAGGTCTGTAACGAGTGGTGTAGTTGACGAAGGCTATAACACCATTCTGAGGCCATTTGCTTGGTGGATGCTTGAATGGGTTTACCCAGGCTGCCTAGAATGAAAAAATTTTGAAAATATATGGGGGTAACTGCAGTCAAGCTAATACAAGGAATTCCAGTGAAATGTGACTAAATAACCTAAAAAAATGGGGAAGCAGGAAAATGGGCACAAAACAACACAAATCTACACATTTGTGTAGTTCACTTCATGTTTGACAAAGGCTGCCGGCCAAAATGTTATTTGTGTTTTGTGCACGTTTTTCTGCTTCCCCATTTCACTTTTTTAGTCACATTTCACTGGAATTCCTTTCCTAGAATCTACACATGCAGAAAAATAAAATACACACTATTATTTAACATTCCCAATATCAATCTGGTTGGAGGTACAAAGTTAATGTAGTCACCAAATTAAAAAAAAGAACCAAATGGAAATTGAATGTCAGTTATTCTCAAATAAGACATGCATTCTTGTGTTGATTAGGCCATGTAGTACCATTCAGGTATTTATCTCTGTATGGGGAAAAAAAAAAAGGTAAATTCAACTAAGGCAGCAGATCTCAACTTGTGGGTCATGACCCTTATCTTGGTCGAATGACCCTTTCACAGGGGTCGCCTAAGACCACCTGAAAACACAAGATTCACTGAAATCATGAAGTAGCAACAAAAAAAAATTTATTGTTGGGAGTCGCCACAACATGAGACACTGTATTAAAGGGCCACCACATTAGGAAGGTTAAGAACCACTGCACTAAGGCATGAGTATTTGTGTTTTAATCTACCACAAGTAAAACAAAAATTATGTGTGTTCTACATTGTCAACACTTTACCGTTATATAAATGTAGTTTGGGCAGTTTCATTTTAGAGGAAATCCTGTCAAAATGGCAAAGAGGCAGGCCCAACGTTGTCACTCATGGCATGCTTTTGCTACTGATAATTGTCAGCCATTGTATTTTCGTTTATTTGTGGAATGAAAAGATATAGCTCCATCACTCAGATACAAAGTTAGGCATACAGCATGACACAGTGAGCTGCAGATTTTATTTTGAATGCTTTTTGACTGTGCTCAGTATGGTGTTGGGAACTGCAGATTGAGAAAATGGTGAGTGACCTGCAGAGAGAGAGAGAGGGACAAAGAGAGAGAGAGAGAGAGAGAGAGAGAGAGAGAGAGAGAGAGAGAGAGAGAGAGAGAAAAGAGAGAGAGAAAGAGAGAGAGAAAGAGAGAAAGAGAGAGAGACAGACTATGATAGAAGATGTAAAATAACTGGCATGAAAGAAAATATGTATCAGAAACTATCAAGAGTACAGTCTGACAAAAGGCTGTGTTGAGACATGCTTATCAACATTATACAACATAGAAGAAGCAAAGAATTCTGGTATATGTTGATGTCGTTAATTGATAAAGAATTTTTTTGAAACATGTGTTTGCATCAGTAGGTATCTATTATGCTACTGAGCCTCCCAGGAATTTGATGTGTCTTTTAACTTTCTGTGCATGTTTATTTTGTTGCCTGAAGCATCATTTTTGTCTTTCAATTTATTTAATTATTATTTACCTCTGTAGGTGTCTCTGTATATTCCTTAACCCTCTCAACAGACACAATATTTGTCTCCAGGTCAGAGGTCATTCTGACCATCCAGTTCAAGGCACTAGTGACCTAATATGAGAATAAGTTGGAAATTATAACTATCAGTGATTCATAAAAATGGATAAAACAAATTTGTTATATTTCTTCTTCTTCTGCATTCATCCAAAAATGTAACTGATGTAAAAATGTAACATTTACAACATAGCTGAAATATTTGTGCCTTTCGGCTGACACATTAGACTTCCGCAGGCATTTGATGCCTGGGTTAGCCTCCCAGGTTAGTTTCATGGGAGACTGCAGTCTCATTGTTGTGTGGTCACCTTTGTTTCCTATGTCACAGGTGATGCCCTCCCATCAGGCCGGTCAAGAGACTTCACATAATGCTGGACAGCCCTCAAGAGAATGCAGGCCCAGAACATGAGCATTCCCTACCATCCAAAGAGGCTTCCATAAATGCAGAGCCAATACATAGTGCTCTGGTACTGGGCTCACCCAAGGAATCATACATCCTGCTCATGACTGTTTTACCTCAATTTCATATATTGAGTCATTCATCATGGGCTATGTCTTTAGAAGCCTACAGCAGGCAACCTGCAGACCTGGGATTTCAATTACCTACACAAAATGTTTATTTTGATAATTTTTTTTTCATGTTAAACTTTATTGCAGTGAACAAATGATTCTATTCTTTGTAAGCTTCTCCACTGAACAATGTCTAATTCATTCCATTACTAGCAAAAGTTATTTTAGCATTCAGTCCTCATAAAGGTATGAAATTAGGTGGTCATCTGATCCTCTTGGTCAATCCTCCTTGTGATTACAGTGACATTAGTTAAGAATTGCCTGTATGTCCAGTTAAATATGACTACAAATTAAATTAAAGGACCATGTGATAAACTGGAAGCCGTAACAACATAGGGCTAGATGCTTATATCTTAGCCTGAAGGTATGAGGTTCAAATCCAGACTTGGTCAGTTTTATCCTGAATTGACCTTTGCAGCAGGTAAACCCAGATGTGTTGCCTAAAAAGGCCCAAATATTGCAGCCAGGTTGTAAACAGGCATGAAACATTTACATCTTGGATAAACACAGAAAAAGAAGAAGAAGAATAAGAATTTCCACCCTGGCTTAATGTGCTCTATTATTTTTTTTTTACATTTACCAAAAACATTTTCAAAGAAAACTGGCATCTACAATGATACCCATTTTTAAAGTAATGCATTCATGAATTTTAAACACAGATATTTCTGCATTTTTGGCATCTATTATGAAACATTTTGGTACAGAAAAAGTCTGTTTCTATTCCCCTCCAGTTATGTTGTACAATTATAAAGGACAATAATAAAATTCAGCCAATATGTGAACAATTGTATAGAAGCTATAGAGATGTGGTTATAAAGGAAGGATGAAAAGATCATGAACTGATAAACAGCTATTAAGATGCCTTAATAGAAATTAACTCCCATCAGTATAAGACAATCTATATTCTTTGGCCAGTGTGTGAGAAAGGAAAAACTGGATTTTGTTGTGACAAGAGAACAGTTATAGAGATCGAGAAGCAGAGGCAGACTAAGGGAGAAGAGGGTGAACAGCTTTGCATCATTGCAGGAGGTTCATCTACATCAGAAATAACTCAAATATATGAAGAAGGATATGACTAAAACTACCACACACATGGACTTTTTGAAAAGGAAGAATGTTTTATCTCAATCATTCTAAGTTCTTATCAGAAAAGCAAGAGCAGATTAATTAATTAATTTTTTTTAAATGTTAAAAGTGAGAGGATAAATTTAACTGCACCAGAGTTTATTCCATACTCTGCAAAATAACTAGCTACCTGCCGTGAGCATCCCGCAAAGCATGAACTCTGTAGCTCCTGTGATGATCCCTAGGGATCTCCATAAAAATTGCACTAATGAACCGAACACTGCAGACGTGAAATGAATCCACAACCTTCTGAGCATGAGGCAAATGACTTCACCATGAAGACCCCCAGAATTTAAAAAAATAAAAAAAAATTTCAGAACAAAAACAAAAGATCTCACAATATCACAGCATATAAATTTATGCTGATATAAGAAAATCAAAACAAATCGCAAATAACACTTCACCTGGAGGGCATAGGACACTGATAGGCCAACTAAGCTTTCATTTGTGTCTTCAGCAATGACTGCAAACATGGCAGCAGCAAGAACGATAAAGCTGCCCAGAAACTCTAGCCTGACAGCCAGCCATCTGTTGAAGAATGTAAAGGTTACAGTGAGAAATGATTTCCCAAAATGCTGTTAAAGTGTTTATTAAAAAATCCCATACTGGAGGGAATAAGACTGTCAGAATTATACTGACAGACAAAGAATGAAATGGTTTGGCCATCTAGTAAGAATACAGCAAGATCAAACTGCATATGGGATTTTTTTTTAACCTGGTGCCCATTTTAGGCTGGGCCTTCAGTTGCGTTTGTTCTGTAGTTTAAAAAATTTGGAATGAAATTGATGAACACTTCATTGCCCGCCCGCCAGCCAGCTATGAAATTCATGGTGTGGTTTGTTTTCTTCAATCGGAAGGTTAAAATGCTGGGCTCCGACATTCCTTCTGTGCTACTGGAAATATGGGTATGCATTTCTAGACAGCTTAGTGACTGGTAATGAGACATGGGTTCTCTTCCTGCATTCGGAGATAAAGGAACAGTCAAAACAGTGGAGGCACACTCATTCTCCATAGCTCTTCGCTGGCTGCTGAAGGTGGGGGCGGAGCACTTATGGGAATGCCCCGAGTGCTGTGATGTCGGTTCTTGAATCAAATCAAATCAAATCAAATCATTCTCTAAAGGAAACCCACCCCCCCCCCCCCCCCCCCCCCCCCCAGAAAAAAAAATTTCCAGCAAACAATTTCACAATAAGAAATTATTGTTACAGTGTTCTGGGACCACAAATGCTAGTCTTTATGTTTAAATACTTTGTATTTTATGACCATTTTTGTATCATGTCATATTTTATAACAACCGGATTCCAGACACAGTTGTCTGAAACAGGAATGATCTGAAATTATATTCACCCTCACCCTAACCTATATTATCAGAAATAGGTTTGGCACTTGCATCATCAATCGTAATATGAAGACTATTGTCATTATCTGGTTGAGATTCATCAGTGACAGAGTGTATGACAGTTCTTGACCTTTTACCTTTTCATTGGGTCTTGAAAAAAATCACAGAAAATTGTATCACAGTGCACTAATTTAGAAACAAATCAGAAACTAATCCAATGACCATGCCAAACTTTGAAAAAAAAAAAAAAGACTAAACTAAAATACTTTGTTTTACTAATTGTAGTTTTTAAAAACATGCTCATAGAAGTTAATTTTCCCAGCAAATAAAATAATGTTACAGTGTCTCTATGAAGACCACTATTATAGTGGTGTTCCGTCCTAATGTAATGAATTAAAAAGCCGCTTATGAGGCGATCCATCCTTAAAGAGTTAAAGAACAAGCATAAAATTATTTTAGTCAAACTCACCTATTAGAAGCTATCCCACAGAAGTAATAAACCTGATTCTTGTCTACTTTATCTTGGGATTGTAAGATAAACTGATCTGTAGCTTTGTAAGCCCTGTAAATATTATCATCAGACATTAAAATGTAGTTATACAAACAAACCTTAATATCAACATACTAATGATAAAAAACACTAGAGAATTACAGGGAAGAATTAGACAATTATTTGCATACATGGTATAAATATATTTTTCTTTCTTTATTTTGTCACCTCACTGGTGCCCAGTGTCTTGGATTAATATATCAAAAAAGCGAAATAATAATACCTCAGATCCCTTTAAATATTCCCAAAGTTAGATTACACAATATCTTTTCACGTCAAATTTTTATCTTGTCACTAAATTTTCAGTTTAAATTCTCATTAAAACATTTTCAGTCCTAAAGACCTAATCAACCTTACCAGACAAAAGCAACAGATGATGGTTTTTTAGTTTGTGAACTAGACACTACAGTCTCTGCAGCCATTTGTACAAGAAATTCAAGGCTCAGAATACAGAACTTTGTCCATGTGAGCAGGCACCACAAAATACTGAAAATATTCTTCAGACGTGCTATCTGCATGCAGATGAGAGGTCTCCAGTCTGGCCAGTTGGCATACTAGAAAAATGCACACTACAGATCAATGGGGGAGTCACTGTGGCGTAGCAGCTAGACGCTTGTGTGCGGATCGGAAGGTTGTGGGTTCGCTTCCTGGCGGAGCTGGACTTTTTGAAAAAATGACCTTGACTCCCAGGTCGACCCAGCCTTGAGTGAGTACCGGATGCAGTCACTGAAAGTAAAGGTGGCTGGCGTGATACTGACCACATAACCCATCTTGTGCCAATTGGTCTATAAAAATATAGGTCTAGCCCGAAATGCCCTAAATGCCTAAAGGCGTGGAAATGGGACCTTAACCTTTTTTTTTCAATTTTACGTACAGATCAGTAGAGGACCTGCACTGCACAGCATCCTTTACAGAGACCTGTGGCCTTCTTACATGAAAACCGCTGGTCATCATCATCATCATCATCATTATCATCATGTAGCAGGTCCTTTGCAGAACGTCACTCTCATCACAGTCTGCCTGAAAGAAACTCGGTTTCTTGCCACCTCTCCCGCCTCATGTACTTTCATACTCAAGGAGTCACTTATATCTTGTTCCCATCTTCGTGTCGGCCGGCCCCTGCCCCTCCTTCCTGGTACAAGCCTATTGCTATAATTTTTTCCAATCTGTCATAGGGCTTGATATGACCAAAATATTACAGCTTCTGAGACAGGATGCTGTTTATTAGCCAATCTTCCTTGATGTTCAGATCTTTCAAGACCTGTGGCCTTCTTATATGAAAAATGCTGGTAGAACAAAAAAAAAGAAGAAAATAGCATATGGATTCCCTCCTGGAAGTCTAACCCAGTCAACAAATGCCTGCAGAAGTCAGATGTATCAGCCAAAAGATGAAAATATCGCAGTAAAGCTTTAAACAGGCAAAACATATTAATATCTTCGGATGATTGCAGAAGGAATAGCAGAAAACCTGGACTCTCTATGTATAATTTCTCAAATCTGTTTCCCTTATGGGCAAGGCTGCTGCCGTGGAGCATGCATTGGCTCTGTTTTCCTGAAACTGTGTGATATAATTATAATAAACTAGGCATCTGTACAGTAGAAACTGTAATGCTTATCTAACAAGTCAAACAATCATGGTTCAACAGAGATAATGACCTGTACACACAAAAAGCAGGTTCGAGGGCAAAGCTGTCAAGTCACGGATAAGATCTACAACAAGACAATACATCAGTTAGGCTACATCTGCAACAGGAGTTAACCTGCCAGTTAGGAAGCAACAAGCCAGGTGATCAAATCCTTTATAGAGTGTGAGAATTTAGTTTTTAATGGAACAACCACACTGAGAAGCTTAAGAGAAGAAACAAACAAATCAAAACAATTTTTAAAAAAAATCATAAAATACTAAATTAAACTATGGCAAAAATAAAAAGTTCTTGGCAAAAATCAAAATATAATTTGACATGATAATTAATGACATAAAAAGAATTATTATTGACAGTGGGTAAATAGTTATTCTTAAATGTTGAATTTATCAATATTTTACCTAATAGATGTGGCCCCTGTAATTGTTTCACTGAAATGTGTGTAGATGGGAGACCGTGTTGTGGACTCAATACGTTTCAGCTGTCGAGAGGTGGGGATATAGAATCTCTGTGGATAACCGTATAAGCATACTTTAATGTGTTATGTTATACAATGTGATAATGATTACCTGTTACTGCCTTGAATGTTTTCAAACAATTAGAATCAAACCAGTACTAAACTACATCAAAAGACAACATACAAAATGGTTCAGATATGTGTCAAGACTACAATCAGATAGTGAATGACAGAGAACCGAGTCATGTAGACACAATGGTGGCAGATCTAGAGGTCAACCATGCAAGTGATACATACATTGAATATCTGAGGCCTTTATTACCAACATCTACGTAGCACATACAAATATTCGCACCCAATGCCCCTTTGAAAACCTGAGGCTGAGAGGTAGAAGAAGACCAGAGAAGAAGAAAAATCATATCACGTAACTCTTTTGAGTGCAAATAGATTTTTTCTAACTTTAATAACCCATAAGGGAATAAAAATCACAATAAAATAGTATGCATGTATGTAAGTTGTACCCCACCAGGACATCACACCAGCGATAAACACCCGGTGACACAAAGTGCCACCATGTGGATGAGGATCACCTGTGGAGAGGTCCCAGAAACCCTGTTCCGCCGTTAGGCCATATTTCAGGCCCGGCTGTATTTAGGACCCCCGGCAAAAGCCAGGGTAGTCTTCAAAATAAATAAAAATTGCATTTTACAAGGGAGTGACATGATTGTTACAATGAAATAGTGTGAATGTGTCCCTTTCATAGCAGCAACATACTCATAGTATGTGCTGCATATTAAAATATCTAGCCAGATTTCATTAATACCGTTAGATAAAATGTGCAATATGTTATTACACATAATGCAGTGTTTTATACATGCAAACAACTGATCACTGATGGATGCTTTGGCTCTTGAATTTTCGAAAGGGTATGTTACAATTGGAACTCCGCTAAGACCGGTCCCAAGCCCGGCTGTAAAAGGAGGAGGGTCTGGCTGAACCTGAGTGCTTCATGCGCCTCCGGAAGTAGTGGGTAACCGTGAATCAGCCAGACGGCCTGCATGGAGGCCGCAAGGAGGCAGCCCCTCCACCATGCAAAGGCACAACAGGCCAATCACCTGTTTGCCTTAAACCACGATTAAAAGTAACTACAGAGAGAAAACTGGACGGATCTTAACGGCGACGAACTGGCATGGCTTAAGGACTACGATTTAAGGAACATGGAATATAAGAGGCATTAAGGGAAAGGAAAATGAGTTTGTAGGGGAGATGAGGAAAGCAAAATTAGGAGTCTTGGCTCTGACTGAAACCAAGAAAAAGGAGCAAGGAATCACAGATCAGGATGGAAGTATGCTGCTCTACAGTGGTGTGCCTATGACGGAGAGAGCCAAGGGAGGTGTTGGCTGTATTGTGGCCAGGAATCAAGTTAGTAACATCAAGGAATGGAAATTCATCTCAGAGCGAATAATGGTGTTAGATCTGAAAGAAGAAGATAAAATTGTCAATTTTGTCATTGTGTACGGGCCAAATGAAGATGAGCGAGTAGATGTTAAAGAAGAATTCTTTGAACTGCTCCAAAGGACCATAGATGACTGTCACGATGAAGTTATCCTCCTAGGAGATCTAAATGCCAGAGTAGGCAATGATCACTCTAGATGGGGTACAGTGATCGGGAGATATGGTGAAGATGTTTTGAATGATAATGGCAAGCGACTTCTCAGATTCTGCAGGGAACAGAACCTTGTCATTACAAACACAAAATTCCCCCACAAGCGTATACATGCATACACAAGATGTGAACCTTCAAAAAATGAAAAATCCATCATTGACTATGCCATAGTTAGGAAAAGTTCATTCAAGTTTGTGAGAGATGCCAGAGTCATGAGAGGACCAGAGATTGGAAGTGACCACTATCTGGTCACAATAAAGAGAACAACTTAAAGAACTGCTCCAACAAGGCAACACAGACAACCGTGCAAGAAACCAAGCAACCAAGAAGGGATGAGGATTAAAGCATACAAGCTAAGAGAGCCAGATATTAAGGCTAGATACCAGGAGCTAATAGTGAAAGCAATAGGAACTGAAGAAGAATCATCAGAGGACACTGAAACCCTCTGGTGCAGATTCAAGAATATCCTCACAGCAGCTGCAGTAGAAGCATGTGGTGAAGTCCCGAGTGGAAGGCGGGGACATAGGACACCTTGGTGGACGGAAGAAGTCAAATTGAAAATAGGAGAAAAGAAAAGGGCATGGAAGCAATACCTGGCAGCCAGGAACACAGCTGAAGAAATAGAAAAATGTAAACAATATGTGGCACTCATAACAGAGACCAAAAATAATGTGCTTAAAGCAAAACAGAAATCATGGGAAGAGTTTGGAGAAAAGTTGGAAAAGAATGCAATAGAAAACCAAAAACTGTTCTACAAGACCCTTAAGAACATGAGGAAGGAGAAAGAGTGCCCACTTAAATTCATAAAAAACAAGGAAGGGGCTCTGCTTACTTCTACAAATGATATCATGGGCAGATGGAAAGAATACTTCTCAGAACTCCTCGGCGTTGAGGGAAGTCATGACCCAGAAATAATGGACCTCACTGCTGAGAAGGAATTCAATCATGGGGAAGATAACATCAGGATGGAAGAATTGAAAGCAGCTATTGAGAAGATTAAGCTGGGAAAAGCAGCAGGTCATGATGGTATAACACCAGAGATGGTCAAATATATGGGAGCCGAAGGTGAGCGCCTTCTACTGAAGGTTCTCCAGGCAGCCTGGTGTAGCAAAACTATACTAAAAGATTGGGAGATTGCCATCATTATACCTATATTTAAAAAAGGTGATAACAGACAATGTGAAAACCACAGAGGCATATCCCTCCTCAGCGTTCCAGGTAAAAGTTACTCTAGAATTCTTGAGCAGAGACAGTATGCATTGGAGCAGGTTAACCAGTTCAAATACCTTGGAGTTGTACTTGACCAAAACGGAGGCATTAAGACTGAGCTGGCTACAAGAAAAGCAGCTGCTGGGAGACTCTTCCAGGCCATAAACCGAGGGTTTCTTAGCAAAAGAGAAATTGGCAAGAGGACGAAAATGGCTGTTTACCGCTCTACCTATGTACCAGTCCTGACCTATGGGTGTGAGTCATGGGCAATGACAACAGCTCACAGAAGCCAGCTGCAGGCCTCGGAAATGAGATACCTGAGAAAGGTGGTCCAAGTGACAAGAAGGGACAAAGTCCGCAATCAGACAATACGTCAAGATCTTGATACCCAGCCCTTACTAACCCGAGTAGATCAGTCACAGTTACGATGGTTTGAACATGTATGCAGAATGGGAGAAAATCGGCCACCATGGCAAGCATGGGAGGCTAAGAACCAGGGAACCAGACCTCCGGGACGACCCAGGATGCGCTGGGAAGACAACATCCGACAGTCCCTAACTGACAGAGGACTGGAATGGAACAAAGCCAGAAAGAAAACTGCGGATAGAGACGTCTGGCAATCTCTCTGGCAAACCTCTACACCCCAAGGTAGAAGAGGAGCGACTAAGTGAAGTGAAGTGATGTTACAATTGGACCCATCAAAGATGCAAACAGTGCTGAATGGAGAGTGAAATTCATAATATGTTTAAATCACCACTGATCACTGGCATCAGGAGAGCTAATAGACTGAAATGGTTGGGGCATATTGAAAGAATGTCAGATGACAGAGAAGTAAAAACTGTATACACATGGGAAATGAATGGTCGTAGACCATGAGACAGACCAAGAAGACGATGATGGAGAGATAATATCCAGACAGACCTGCAAACTCTTGGTGTCACCAACTGGAAAGAGAAGGTGAACCAGACAGATGAATGGAGGCATGTGATTTCTGCATCAAAGAACCACAAGGGCTCAGAATGCTGAAGAAGAAGAAGAGGTTACAATTGAGAATACTTCAATTATCTGGTTCATCTGTCTTTCTGCTGCATCAAAAACCATCTCTAACATATGCTCATCTTCTTTATCTTGTAACCATTGACCCCAGTGGTTGTCCAGATATTTCTCTTATTTGTTTGCCTTTCTTGATTTCATTCCATTTAACAATCATGAATTTTCTCATGCATTTTTTTTTCAAATTCATTCAATTTTTGTTACATGTTTTTAAAGATTCTCTCACGTCAACAGCAACTGTTATAACTGCAACAATATTAGAAAGGAAAATATGTATTTTGGACTTAAAACTACACAAATTTACACTTGCATATTTTCATCAGGATTTAAAATGTTGCTGTTGCCTTGCCAGTGAATTCAGTAGTATCTTAGGTGAAATGGTCAAACTGTTTGCCTCATGTTCTGAAGTCATGGGTTCATTTCATGGCTGTGTTGTTCAGGTCTTGAGAGCAATTTTTACAGAGACAACTAGGAATTATTACTAGAGCTATGGTGTTCATACTTTGTGCAGCACTCTAGGCAGGCAGCTAGCTATTCTGCAAAGAGAAAAGGAGCCAGAGGATAAAAACCTAGTGCAATGAAGTTGATCCTCTCAACTTCAACCTCTTTTAACATTTTTTATTGGTTAATTTAAACACATAAAACACACTAACCTGAATGAGGTAGTAAAATACCCCCAGAGGGAGAATCACAGTCATAAATATAGGTGTGCTGTAGCTGATGATGACTAAAGTACTCAGTGCCCCAAAGAATGTGCTCATCCAGCTCCGCAGCTGTTGTGGCAGAGTGTTATCAATGGTTTCCACATCTCGAGAAAATCTGTTCACAATGCGGCCGGAGGGAGTTGTGTCAAAAAACATTATTGGAGACCGCAGAACATTTGCCAGCATGGCTGTATGAAGTTTCTGTGAAGCTCGAACCATTTGGATAAAGGCTACGATGGCATAAAAGAAGATCAGGATAGCTGTGGAGGGGGAAAAAAAAACACGTGTAAGTGTCACTTCTAGAATTCTGCACTTCTGTGTATCAAATATTGAGAAAGTGTTTGTAGTCTTTCTTAGTGATTACAGATAATTAGATTATATACTCGCAATGCTGGCTGTGTAAAGAGAAGTACTTTCTGTGGCAAAGTTATTTTATGCTATCACAATCAATTTCACTGCACACTGGGATTGAGATGAGTAGTGTTGAGTCAAGAATTGACATCACAGCACTCAAGGCATTCCCATGCATACTCCATCCTCATCTTCAGCAGCCAGCGCAGAGTTCCAATACTGATATTACCGGTCACAATCTGGTTACCATGTCCGTCTTGCCTTTCCTCATGCTTTTTAGGCCATAACAATCAAGTTTCTCTACTGATTCCCTTGCTTGTTACATTCTCAGTCCTATGATGCAGCAGCCACTTCATGGTACCTCTGCTGATTGTTCACATGGAAATAAAAGAAAAGGACCCTTTTCCATGCTTTTATGTTGTTTCCATTAGGATCTGGTTATGTCTCCTATCCTGGTCTTGAAGGCAACATAGAAATGCTACACTATGTTTTACTCCCATGTCTTGCAGCTGTGCCAGAAATTTATTATTATCTACCAAGTCCTTAATGCTTTAATTGTATCTGTTCTGTCCATGCTTCTTCCCTCCTGCTTGGTGCACTGCTTGCTAGTTGGTCCGCTCATTCACTGCCTATCATGCTGGCATGCCTGAGTGTACAGATCCAGGCTATGCAGAAAATTGGTTAGAACATGTTTCTCATGTCTGAAGGTTGTAGGATTGTTATCAGCCTAAACTGTTCAGTTCATGTGACAACTTTATTCACTGATCTTTCTAGATCTATAGAGTTCCTGAATTTGTGTGAAGCTCTCAGCAGGTGGATATTTGCTTTATATAACTTTTCACAAATAAAGGAAGGTTGGTGCTGTTCATAGTTTCTTTCATAGCTTCATGGACTCTTCCGGGTCACAGGGGTGTGCAAGTCGACTTCACGGGACATATGTCTGTGTTGAGCAAACTGCGAATCAACATGTTGAAAGGTTGCCTGGCTGGCTGCGATAGTTTACCCCCGGTCTCTTCACCCGCAACATCTCACATTGCCGGCGGTGTCCCTGAAATAATCTAGAATTAGCTCACTCCCCTATGCCCCAGAGCAGTCCAATGATTTATGAATGAAACAAGACGAAGTGCATAACCTAATTTAAATGTTGCGGTTACCGTGAACAGCACTGGGAGGTTACATTGCAGTGGAGATTACCTGGAATCAAATGTGGTCATGCCAGTGTGCGTTTCAAGAGTTCATAAGCAGTTAAAGAGTAGCTACACAGTTGCCAGTGCAGATCATATGAGAGGACAACAGAGGTGACTGCAGACAAGCTGATATCAAGAGATTAATCTACTGAATGGTAACTAAGAAACTTAACAATGGAAGGGGTGGGGGGGGGGGGGGGGGGGGGGGGGGGGGGAGTAAGCACAAACAATGGGCTTTTGCAAGCTGGTTTCAGGTTAAATGATTCATTGGCAGGTGCAAGAAACAGAGAAGAAAGAAGTCATGACATGTTTTGTTGCAGTCTTCTTTTTATAGTACATGCTGCTGTGTGGTTTTGGTAGTCATGTTAATCCACCACCTTCTATCTCATATACTTTCAATCAATTCTGACACTGAAGATCTATCTTCAATGCCATGATGTCAAACTGTCCAGCTTCTTCTCTCTTGGTCTGCCTTTACCTTATTTCCCTTCAAGTTTTCTCACCATTATCATGCACTCCATGACATGACCAAAGAATGTAGATTGTCTCCTTCTAATATTAGTTTCAGTTCTCTTCATGAGTCAGTTTTCTTCAAGACATCTTCATAACTTTTTTTTTTCTGTCCAGATTATTTTCACCATTTGTTGTATATAGTAAACAAAGTGTAATGTATTGAATGTTTGCCCTAGTGTTAATTTTTTTCATCACAGTCAATCAGTACATTACAGTTTGTTTATGAAATAGCATGAAGATTCCCTTAGTGATTTATCTATGTGTTTTTATTTTTTATTTTCATTTCTGAGAAAGTCAGTGTCTGTGGATTAGGCGTTGCAAACGAACTTCGTAATGCCGTGGTGCCGGGTCGATCCCAGCTGCAGGCCTTGCACTGGTTTTGACAATGGTATCAAAAAGCTGACCCTCCAGAAAGCAATGGCAAACTACTGGAGGTAAATTTCCCTATAAAAACCACAACAGCCAAAAAGTGCTGGGGTTAGTTCTGCAATGTCCTGTAAAAGATACACAACTAACTTTTCAGAGAACATGTTTAGTGAATGCAGTGACCAAAATTGTCCAACGTGTATGATGAATTACCTTGTGCAACACCCAGTCCACCATAGACACCAAGATACAAGTCATTCCTGTCACTGTAAGCACTGGTGTTTGAGAGGCTGGTGTTTCTGAGAAGGCTGTCTGAGGTCCAGTCAGATAACCAGATGCTGGAGTACACACTAACAGCTTGGTACAGTGCAAAGAAACTGAAGAATGAAAATGTAGCACAGAGTCCAATAGCTTTGAAGTATTCCATGAACACAGCCGTTTTCACCTAAAAAGAACAGCATATTCAAAACAATAATTTTTTTATGTAAACCTGAAAAACATAATAAAATAAAACAGTCTTGTCCTTGCCTCTATCAGGGCCGTGAAGGACTGGGGTACAGACAATACTTTGCACAGCTTACTGCCTGGCATATTTTTCTGTATTTTGTATTTTAACAAAAACAATATTTCATTTTGTTTCTGCATTAAAAAGTTACACTTTTTTTAGGTGACATAAATATTATGTTTTAGACGGCTACTATTTTAACCCTCTCAGTTTCAGATAGACGTTACTTCCATACTTTCTACTTCAGTGGTTTTTAACTTTACAGCAACAATCTTTTGACCGTGCAGGTTAAGAAAAAGGGAGGGGGGGGGGGGGGGGAAGCCTTTAATATTGAGCCACATTAAATAACATAACTCACTTAGAAAACCATAATAAAGGGAACAGATGAAGGTAAGAGAAGCAGGAATTAGAGAACGATACAAGTGGACAGACATCAGCAGATTGAAAAACAGCTATCTTAGTCAGTGAACAATGACAGTAAGAGACATATTATATTAGGGATCAATTGCAGGCAACTTGTATTGCAGAGACAGCACCCTGATTGAACAATGAGAGCAGAAAGAGTTAAAGTAACAATTTCAATAGAATAGATTAACTTAACAAAAGGCTTGGACAGAAAAATGTGTACCAGCAGTATATACAACTTCTTAAATAAACAAATGGCATATGGAAAGTTGACTGGCAATGAAAACTTGTTTTATTTAAGGGAAAAATATTATATTTTAAGTAAAAGTAAAGTGAAGGACCCTTTTCCATGCCTTTAGGAGTTTAAGGCATATAGGGCTAGACCTATATTTTTATAGACCAAGCGTCACAAGATAGGTGATGTGGTCAGCATCATGCCTTTACTTTCCAGGACTGCACCCGGTACCCACTCAAGGCTGGGTCGACCTGGGAGTCAAGGTCATTTTCGAAAAAAGTCTAGCTCCGTCAGGGAGCAAACCCACGACTTTCCGATCCATACGAGAGCGTCTAACTGCTAATTATATTTTAAACTGCTGCCCTTCTCCTTATCGAAGGCAGTTTGCCAGATAATGCCACCAAGGTCATAAGTGTTGGATTTTTTGATTATGTATGGGAATGTGTATAAAATATTCATACCAATATGCTACTGGTGTCAAACTTATTACCACAGGCTAACATAAATAAAATCAACATCTGTCAGGTCAGACTGCCAAAGAAGGTTGCCGGCTTAACCACCTGAGATGAATTAGAAATGTTACCTCTAGACAGACTGTGGGAATAACATTTTGCACTAAATTGAGAACCAGATGATCAAATGGTTTGGTCATCTTAGTAGAATGCAGCCACAACAACCAAAAGCAGGTGTTATACTTAAGAAGATCTGATGTCAAATAAAGAAGGTGTTCAAAGAGAAGAAGGATTGATGGCATTCACTCTTTCAGTCCCAGGTTTAGCATCAGAGGCCCAAGGGATAGTAATGATTTGTTTTTGTTTTTGTTTTGCTTAAATAAACTGCTACGAGCTCCAAACTCAACCCATCCTGAAATTAGTTAGTTATTCTTTCCTCTTGAGCCTAGGGTGACGCATCGGGCATAGGTCACAGCTAATGTCTGGTGGTTCTTTGCCACCTGTTTTAGGTTTTGGATGTTTGTCAGGCCCACAGTTGAGCCTTCCTTGATGATGGTTCTATGCAGGACCTCTTTGGGTTTTCACCATTTTCTGTTTCCTTCTGATGTGCATATAAGAGCTTGATGATCAGGAGCGATACTGATCATTATATGAGCCAACTATGAGATTGATACCATATAACTACTTTATCTCAAGACATTAAAAAAGGCCCTATATTTTACTTACTTTATGATTCTATAAGGAGCAACCAAGGTGTAGTGGCTAGACTCTTGACTGCTGATTGGCAATTCATAGAATCACCCAGGCACAAGTCCCAGAAACCCTGTTCAACAATTAGGTTATATTATGGCCAGCAAAAAACTCCCTTTAAAATACTTGAAAAATTGTGACAGGCAAACCTACAAACACTTGGAAGTCACTAACTGGAAAAAGAAGGCCATTGACATTGGTGAATGGAGACTGGTGGTATCTGCAGCAGTAAACCTCAAGGCTTTGGAATGCTAAAAAAAACAGAAAGAAGACAGGAAGAAAAACATGTAAGGTTAAAAAAAAAAAATTTGAGTACATCTGTACATTTTACCTTTCCAGTTTCAGATTTTTCTTCCTCTGTCAGTCTATCACCAGGCCTTGGAGGCTTTATTTCAATCTTTGGTTCCTCTTTCTTGTCAATCACTGGCTTGCTAATCCGCCTCTTTAGGTGACTACTTGGTCTGTGTTGCACATAAAACACTTACAGTAAAAATACAACCTTTTTTTTTGGTTTTGTTAATTAGAACCATTACAAATATTCAGGACAGTATATGAGGACACTATGCTAGCACGGTGGCCTTGTTTACCTGTTATTCCAGTGGTCATAAGTTCAAAACCCCACTGAGATATTTTTTCTAGTGATATGGGCACCAGGTTGACCAACCTTAATATTTATAACCTGGAAATATTCTTTAGAAGTAAATACAGCCAACATAATAATGACTATGTCACTGTTTGAGTACCAGTCAGTCTATTAAAAAAGGAAAAACGGAAAAAGTGCTGGCATCATATTCTCAATACACTTCAAGGCACTGAAATAAATCCTTAGCTTACATTTTTGGGGGGGGAAATATACTGAGGTTTTGTCTGTGAGTATCTTATCTTTTCCTTCTCACTGTGCCTCATAGTCATAGTCTGTACTGTGTTGATTATTCCTTTATGTATTTACTTATTTACACTGTTTATCTACATCAACAGATTTTTTTTTAAAATTGTTATTGCTTCACTCTGCAATGTGGGACGCACATTTTATTTTATTTTTAAGCCTCAATCTGGCTATAATCTGGGCCCTAATGTAACCTTACGGTTGTTCGGGCTTTCTTGGACTTGCCCCTGGGTGATCCTCATCTGAATGCTTGCACTTTGTGTCACTGGGGGATGGTCGCTCAGTTTACGGTCATGATGGGGTTGAACGACTCACAAATTTGCGACTCACAAAATCGGCACAGTACAGACTATGACTCTACAGACTCTACAATTGTACAAGTAATTGTACTATAAGATCAATTTTTATTGTTAAAATTCACTAATGAAAGATTTTAAAAACTTGTAATATTCAATCAGTACAATTATAGTTCATTATTCATTGTTGACTTTTTTTGGGAGATCATCTTCATCACACATTGGACATGATCATGTTTTATGTGAGACACAGTACAATTGATCAAAATTATGCAAACCATTTCTTACATTATAAAATAACAAAAGTAACACCTGTTCTGAAAATGAGAGTAAAAGTAACTCTGTGTGGTACTGAAAGAGTTGAAAAGAGTGACCTTACCTTGAACGAGCCTTCTCATCTCCTGAAGTAGCAGCAGCATCAGATGTTACAGAATCAACCCTTTCTAAAATCTTTGCCTTCATTGCAACAACTGAAATGATTTTAGATGAATTCAATATTTAAAACAAAACTTTAAATGTATGTGAGAAATTTGTTTAACATATTCTTGTCTGTTTTTAAGAGTGATTTTCCCATTGTGAGGTCTGTAGTGCTTGACTGCCTGCTTCCTCTTCAGGATCACATCTTCTCTTCATAACCACATCAGTTCTTCATGATGAAATCAACTCTTGAAGGCTCCAACACATTGTTTTGTTCAAATCAACTCATGCTGATCACATAAACACTTGATGACTAAATAATCTCATAACAAACATCGCAAAAACATTTAATGATCACATCCACTCTTTATAACATGTACAGTAGATATGATGTAAAGGTATGTGGGAGAAAACTTTAAAGAAAATAAAAATCCCCCCAAACAACAAATATGATACAATAAATAACGATTCAGATTTCACTTTGCTCCTTCTTCTCTGAAGCACATTCAGACAACAACATTGATGTCAGTTAATTAGTCACAATTCCAACTTTAAGGCAGAAGTGTCACCCAATAATTGCCTCCTTCCAGTGCCAGCTAAATCCATACAAATTGCCCATCTCTGTCCCTGGTTGAAAATTGCAAACAGACTGCATTACATACTGGCAGATCCAGCAGTATACACATGCATTAAATGCATAAGGCAGACATCAGAAGTGTGAACACATGCATTCTGCCAATAGTAATGCATCTCATCATAGATGCAAGCAGAAGTTTGAAGTTTGAACAAAGGATCAACATCAAGGCACACAGGTAGTAACCCAAAAGTGCTCCATTCTACTTCTAACTCAAGTCTGAGTCTGAAAAAGCTCAGCGCAGTGCACAAGCTCTGTAGCACTGGCGAGGATCCCGAAATACTTTGGTTAGATTAGTAACTCCAAATTTTGCCTGGGCAGCGCCGTTATGCTACTCTTTTTGATTTCCAAATGCCAAGGGATTTTTACGTGCACAAAAACGCACACGGGCGTCCGATCTCACTACCCAGATACCAGGGGGAATTACTGAAAGTCCAAGTGAGCATGAAAAAAAATTCCAGGAGCTCGAGACCAAGCAGCAGTAGTTAAAACAAATCAGTGGTTGCACGTAAAATCCCGCATAAAGGTGTTCCAATTCTGTGAACACCTGTGAAATTATCTCTCATATAATGCTTTCATTTTTCATAATATAATTCACACACATATTTATTTAGGAATAAACTCACTTTCTGGATCTTCATCTTCATCATCACTCTCTTCCATTGTCAGGTATGTCTTTAAGAACTGAGCAAAGTCTCCATCATGAGACAAGAGTTCATCATATGATCCTATTTCAGAAATACGTCCATCTATCAAAACAACAATCTTGTCAACTTGTGGTAGCCAGTGAACTCCATGAGTTACTAGAATTCTTGTCTGAAATAAAAACAAAAGTGTATCCAGATGATGACTCTAATTAATAGGACAGTAATCAATGCTCAGCAAAATCTAATTTACTGATTTTGTTGTTGTTGTAAACAGTGTTTATTATGTTTATTAAGAAATAATGAGGCCTTAAAATAATTAAATAAAACAAAAACTAATATTAAAAAGGCAAGAGATTTTGGGCACATCAAATTTCGGCTATCCTCCTAAAAACAGTCATTTATTGAGGCTAAGAGAATACCTTAACAGGGCCTGAGTCATATGTAAATTGCGGACTCATTTCCGGCGAGTACACCACAGCAAAAGTAGGATTAATTTTTGGTGATGATTTCACAAAATGCAAAAATTATCACAGAATTATCACCATGGCAGGCAGACCATCAACCCTAGATTTAACTTCTCCCCTGAGTCCTAGGTTTAACTTCTCCCCTGGGTCCTTGGTTCAACTTCTCCCCTTGGTCCTAGGTTCAACTTCTCCCCTGGGTCCTAGGTTCAACTTCTCCCCTGGGTCCTAGGTGTAACTTCTCACCTGGGTCCTAGGTTTAACTTCTCCCCTGGGTCCTAGGTTTAACTTCTCACCTGGGTCCTAGGTTTAACTTCTTTCTTGGTCCTAGGTTTAGGGTGAGATTTAGGGCTAAGAGTATTACAATTACAACACTGCCGCCAGAATCTGTTACAACAGTCCAGCTGCGACACTAACGATTGAAGGGTTAAGAATGCAAATGAAATTGGCGAAATATTACAAAGGCGGGACTAGTTGCTCAATTTGCCACCCACCTCTGGTGTATTCGCCTGAAAAAATCTAATTTTACACACCATTAAGGCCCTGTTAGGGTATTTTCTTAGCCTCAATAACTTAGGATCGTTTTTCGGAGATGAGCTCAAATTTCAGTGATTTTATTAGCCAATCATTCATCATCATCAGGTTCCTTGCAGACTGGCGTGGGCGATCATGCCTCTCCATAATCTGCGATTTCTTGCAGCATGTATCAGTTCATGTACCGACACACCTCCATGCCATGCAACAAGACTGTAAAGAATCTTCTTTCATTGTCTTCCTCTATCCCTCCTTCCACAGATTTTTCCACTGGTCAGAACATGTTCTATTTTCCCTCTTCTCATAACATAGCCGAAAAATGATGACTGTCTCCTTCAGATATCTGTGATTAGTTGTCTTCGGGCTTTCGCCTCTTTCAAAACCTCTTGGTTGCTCTTTTTAGCTGTCCAAGGTATTTTAAGCATTCTTCTGTAAAACCACAACGCTGAGGCAGCCACTCATTGTTAGTGATTTGGATTCCTGCACCTGGTGGAATACTTGGTAATGAAATTTTAGAAAGGGAAACAAAACAAAGAAAGAAACACAAGACAGGCCCAATACAAAATATACACTAACTTACAGATTTTATCAGAAAAGAGCAAGGGGAGAACAGAAAGTTTAACTAAATACCTGAATACTTTGCTTAACTCTTTCAGTACCAATCAGAGCATCATGTACTCTTTTTTTTTTGAGGGGGGGCGAATTTGGGGGTGGGGGGAGGGAGTCACTCTAAAGATAATATAAATATAATGTTCTAGATGTCTTCTATCATAGACATATGTTATTTTAACCCTTTGTAACTTAAATATTAGTTTAACGTCTTTTATTCTATAGTGTTTCGGTTGAACTCCTTCAAACCCAAGCATTTATTGTTTTTAAGCTCAAGTCTGTGGAGTAGAAAACAGTTGTAGTAACTACATTGTAATTAATGTCATAATTTTACCCTTGGGAATGCCCAGTGTGCAGTGGTGTAAATCATGATAACACAGTGACTGTGTAAAATGGCTACAAATGTGCTACCATAAAGTCCAAACTTATTACAATGATACATGATGAAATATTTTGACATATGGCTCTGTCTATGAAAATTATGTTCTGTTTGTTTTGTTTATTAACACTCGGAATTTATTTCTGACCAGTTCATGTCTGCTGTCAACCTAGTCCAATATCCCTGAACTTCCTGGAATTGGTTAAAAAAAGGAAATTTGACAGGGAATACAATTGGCCTCCTTACTTCATTTGCACTGGCTTATAACGGGGCTTTTTCTTCTCTTCCACCTTGTACCCCAGCAAAGTGTTGGTGGAGATGTAACATTTGTTGATGAGCTCTGTCAAGAGCACTATTGAGACTGATGTTCATTTCTGTAAGGCTGTTCTTAATGCCATCACTCCATCGTTTCCGAGGTAGAACAGGGCTTTTCAACTAAATTTACTTATAGACTAAAATGTTAGAAAATGTGTATCATTGCGGGCAATTGGCCCAAGCCCCAGTATAGGAAGATCATAAATACAGTACATGTGGCAGGTGATCCACATGGGGCTTGCTAGGTGTCTGCAGGCCAGATTTGGTCAGCAGGCCACCAAGTGAAAAGCCCTGGCTCAGATTAAGTGAATATGTGAAACCCTAAAGCCATTGAACTTCAAAGACAATGCCAGTCATACAACTACTTTTTTTTTTAATTCTTCAGAAAAAAAGTTTACATCTATTACATCATCATCATCATCATCATCATCATCATCATCATCATCATTATCTGCCACCATTAGGCACGCCTTTGGAGGCGATCACTCCCATCAAGAAAACACCCGATTGGGTCACCTGCTAACTGTCCTGCCCCATACACTTTCATACTCAGAGTGCGAGTGACATTCTGTACCACCCAATGTCATGCTAGTCATCCCCTGCCTCTTCTTTCAGCAACCATACTCTGCAAACATTTAGGCCATTTATTAAAGAGATTCATTACAGCCACCTTCAATTTTATTTAAAAACAAAAAACAAAAAATACAGGAAAAGACACTCTCCATCTGGGGCCACATTGGGCATATGATTAAAAAAAAGGTAAAGGACCCTTTTCCACCCATTTAGGCATATAGGGCATATAGGGCTAGACCTATATTTTTCTGGACCAATAGGCAGAAGATCTGCATCACGCCGGCGGCCTGTACTTCCCGGGACAGCACCTGGGAGCCAAGGGTCAACCTGGGAGCCAAGGTCATTTATTTTTAAAGTCCGGCTCCACGAGGGAGCGAACCCACAGCCTTCCAATCCACAGGCAAGCACCTAGCTGCTCTGCCAGTGCGACTCCTGGGCATATGATGCTAGATTCATATTGTTTATAGACCAATCAGCACTCTATGCGTGATGCGACCAGCATTATGACGGATGCCTTTACTTTCCAGGACTTTACCTGGTAACCATTTTCAATTGGCTCAGGCTATCAGTTTTGGAGGGGAACTAGTTAATTATCATGAAAACATTCAGCTGTGTACAACAACAACAAAAATTGGTTTGAACTATTACCTTTCTTCTGAGCATGCCACTGTTTGACACAACTTTGTTGAATATGTGTTTGCCCACATGGGAGTCAACGGCACTGAGGGGATCATCCAACAGATAAATGTCAGCATCACTGTACACAGCACGGGCAAGCGACACACGCTGTTTCTGTCCTCCACTTAAATTGATACCCTAAAGTAGCAGTTTAAACAAGAAAACTGAAGTTAAAATGTTTTTTTTATAAGTACAGGACCGTTTTCAATAGGGATTTATAGCACTAGACCTGAGACCTATTTTTAAAAAATCTTCTTGTGTACAAAGTAATGCACTGTTGAATTAAGAATTGACATCATAGCGCTCGGGACACTCCCATAAGCGCACTGTCCCCATCTTTAGCAGCAGGCAAAAAGTTCCAAAACTGATGGTACCAGTAACTGTCTGATTGTACATTAGTCTCACCTTTCCCCTGAGTTTTGAACCTCAGTCAGATTCCCTGGTAACTCCTCACAGTGCCATTCTCCTCAGACAGTAATGATCTATCTATGCCTCCACACTGTTCACTCGCTCCCACCAGCACGACCTGTAGAAAATATCCTTAGGATGCCAACTACCCAAGACATCTGAATTTATGCTTTCCACTCTGCACGGAGTATGCCTGTATCCATCTTTGTCAACATGCTCTGTGAGTCAGTTATAATCACGACATGTGTCTACAACTTATCCTCAAGCCAGCGGAAAGCAGGAGCGACTGCCTCCACCCTGCATTATGGTTAAGCAATAGGTGTTTCTTCCTTTTTAGGATGAAATTTTTTGTTATTTGAAGACCACCCTGGCTTTTGCCAGGGGCCGCAATATAGGCAGGCCATGAATATGGCCAATTGTCTGAACGCGGTTTCTGGGACCTCTCCATGGCGATCCTCATCCACATGGTGGCACTTTGTGTCATCGGGTGTATATCGCTTGTGTGATGTCCTGGTGGGGTAAAAAGTCAATCAACCCTGCATTCTCAAATGAGATGCTATATCATATGCAAGGCTTTTCTTGCACCAAGCGACATCCATTTACTTTTGCTATGAAGGCCTATGCACTTCGTCTGCCCCTCAACATAGAGCCATCTGTATAGATAATCACATCATCTGGGCAGAAATTGTAATGAATCATTTGTTCACTTCTGATTCTGCAACACCATTTGGCCAATCCCTGCACTCTTGACCTAAATTCTTCTTTCATTTGCTTGAAATAGATTATCTATATCTGCAGAACTGTATGACCAAAAGTGATAAGAACCCTACATAAGTCTAAAATTTCCTCGGACACTTTGATCCAATCCTATCCTTGCCCACATTTATCAAGCCTTCACACATATGTCTAATTGTGTCTTCAGCTTGCACCATCCAAGACCGTCCTCTTTTCAGTCTGTAATCCTTAGCTCTACCATGGGCTTCATACAGGTGGTGCTTCTTGTCTGCAGCTACTCTAAGGTATGATTTTTGCCTGGAGAACTTTGAGCCTATATGCAATAGTAGGCAGTACACGTATATATCGCATACATACTACTGGGGTTTCTTTTGTAGATCCCAGAACTACCCGCATGGCTTCATTCTGAATGTGTTCGAGTGTCATAAGATGGCTCTTTGATATAGTAAGCATCTAAGTCCATAATCTATCACCGAACGGATCACATACTGGAACATTGTGAACAACTTTCTTTGTTAAATGTCTATTGCTGTCATAATCTTGAGAGTATTGGTCCTTTTTTGGCATTTCAACTGCCTGCGCATAATTCCTGAGGGACAAGCTTTATTAACAAATGAAACCTAAGTACCTCGGTTTGGTTTCTCTTTGGGTGTTTCTGTCATTAACTCTTAGGCTTAGAACATCAGCTTTTATAATTCGATTGTCTAAAGAAGAGCACCATAAAATAGCCAACTTTTGTAAGTTAATTACAGCCCCTATCTCTGCACGCCAGTCAGTTACTTTGTCTACAGCTGCCTGTTGCTCTTGGGCTGTCTGTTGCCTATTACTCACCTGCCTATATGCAAGAACACAAACTGCAAATGTCAATATCCTTCCAACACCTTGTATTTTAAGTTCTGCAATCTTGCTTGTATACACATTGAAAAGAACTGGCAAAATTGCAGAAGCATGGGGTAGCCCGTGATGATATTACGGGGTTTTAAGGTCATGTACCCAGGCGAAAGGCAACCGTACCTGAATGCAGGACAGCTGCTATCTAGTTCACCAGCCAGAAATACATTTCCTTCACCATGAGCTTAGTTATCAGAATATCATATCTGACTCTACTGTAACCATCCTCAAGATCAAATGCTGCCACTACCGCCTCCTGTCTATTCTGGAACCCTCATACACACCAAAACTACCTGCTGGGTAGTGACCAAGTAGCATGTGATGTGTTTCCTGAGACTTGGAGTTAATGAACTGCATGACTAGTTAAAGTCCTAGTTATCTTCTAATGTCTTTATTGTAAAATGCATAGCTTGTTACTCAGGCAGCACTTCAAAGACAATTAGGGACAAAATGGGTGTTATATTTCTCACCTTTTCTCCTATTTCTGTCAAATCTCCCCCTGGAAGAATTTCTAGATCTGGTTTTAATGCACATGCTTCAAGGACACGATCATACACATTGGGCTTTTCATCCTTGCCAAATAGGATGTTGTCTTTGAGAGTTGCATTCTGGATCCAGGCTTGCTGGGGCACGTATGCAATGCTTGACTGGGAATTTAGAGTAAAAAAATGTAATCAAATATTTCAACAACAACAACAACAAAAACATCAAAATTATAGTGATTGTCATTTCACAGATAGGTACAGCTCATTCCAATATAGTATATGGGCATGTGAAATTACTGAGAGTCATAATAATTTAAATAATGATATCATGTTTAACCCTTCCATGTTATAACTAGGTTTTATGAAGTGTTTTTTTTTTCCATTTTGACACTGGGTATTTGTACTTGTCAATTATTTTTACTTATTTAATATTGAATAGAAGCTGACTTAACAGATTGTACAAGTGTGGGTTGTGAAGTATAACATATTTTAAGTGCACATTTCAAACAATTGTGACAATCACACTGTGCAATTTATCATTAGGAGTTTTTAATGGGATTTGGAATACCATCATTTTGTTTTATGATATATTAAAGCTTCAAGTTAAAGGTTAAAGTCAAGAGCATCGACTTCATTGCACCTGGTTTTATCCCATTTGGCTCGGTCTCTCTCTCTCTCTCTCTCTCTCTCTCTCTCTCTCTTCTCTCTCTCTCTCTCTCTCTCTCTCTCTCTCTCTGCAGAACAACTATCCACCTGTCAAGAGTTCTGTGCAGAGTGCGAACTCCATAGCTCTGGTGACGATCCCCAGGGACCTCTGACAAAAATTGCACTCATGAACTGAAGGGCAATGTCATTGGCTAGCCTTTGTTTTTGGGATGTGCTGTTTAATCCTCCCCTGTAGTTCTCTAGAGATATCAGTTCTTAGCATGTTGTCTACTATCACAAGCTTTTTGCAGCAGGTCATATATTTATTAATAAGAATCCTTTGGAGCGCTTATCTCTAGCAGTATATGCAGAAAACACTAAAATACTGCTTCACTAAAGACACTACATTTATAATATTCACACAGTTGAAATTCTTACTTTAACAGTGACTGTCCCTTGCAATTTTTCCATTTCACCAAGCATAGCTGAAATCAATGATGACTTTCCAACACCAACCTGGCCAACCACAGCTATAAGCTGTCCTACAGGTATTTCCAGATTGATACTGTGATGTTTAATATAAAAGAGTAAAATAACAATATAAAAAACTTTTTAAATTGGAACAAGGAAATCAGACAACCAAGGATGGGGAACAGAACCATAGAAATTAAGCCATTATCATCAGTTCATCAGGGTAAAGATTTGACCCTACAGCATTCAGGACAAGCCCATATTAGCAATGTCTCCCTCCTCAACAGCCAGTGAAGAGTTTCCAAACTGATGGTACCTGTTGTCATCTAGTTAACTACTTATCTTGCCTTTCTCCAACATCTTGAGTGGCATGCAAAGCACACAGACACTTCCTGATGCATCATGCTCTTCAGGTGTGGGTTTTCAATATCTTCATTTTCACCTATGCCCATCTTCATGTTGGTCAGCATCTGTCCCGCCTTCCTGGTACCATGCCTTCTGCTATTATTTTTTTTGCCAATCAGCCATGGTGATTGATATGTCCAAAATATTTCAGCGTCCCAGATAAGATGCAGTTTATTAGCCAATCTTCATTCATATTCAGATGTCCCCCAACATGAAGGTGACAGCCATCAAATCTAGCCACTCCAGTGACAGAGTTCACAAGTCTCTTGAAAATCGCTTTATATACTTTGGGAGCTCTGATTCCTAGCGGACTAAACTGCCAACACAGCTTTATCTAAATCCTAGGGAGCTGAACTGCCTACACAGTTTCATCTTATCTTTGAGTGACCACCCCTGGCATATTCCCGGAGATTTATTTTAGCGGCCCCACGTGCCTCGCCAGACTATTATCTTGACATTGACCTGGCTGCCACAAGATACAAAGATAAGTGATACTGTGTATTTGTGTAGTATTGTCTAATATATGTATGTGCTGAAGAAGGTTCCATAGCCGCAACATTCACATTTTGTTTGTGTTTGTTACATTGTGAAGCCTGTTGATATACTTTTCGTTTGGTTTTATATCTTTCCATGATATTCATATTCAGATCTTTGAGGACGTCAGTATTTCTTTTCTCAGATACAATGAACGAGACTCTGACTTACTTGTTCAAAGTTGGGATTGTATTAGCCCTGTCCCAGGTAAAAGTTCCATCCTGAATTTGAACAGCAAACTCTGAAAAATTAAATGTAGAACTCATAACTGAATGTTGAATGTTGAATTAAGAATCAACATCACAGCACTCGGGACACCCCCACAGGCCCTCCGTGGCCATCTTCAGCAGCAAGCAAAGAGTTCCAATTCCGATAGTACCAGTAACTGTCTGATTGTATAATTGTCTCGCTTTTCACCCGAGTGTCGAGCATCAGCCAGATCCTTTTGTAACTCCTCCCAGTGCCATTCTCCTCAGACCGTAATGATCTATTTGTTCCTCTGCACTGTTCACTCGCTCCCAAAGGGCTCTCACAACATCCAGCTTGTCATACATCAGTTCACCACCAAATGGTGCAGAACCAGCCAGTCTATCTGCCTGCTCATTTCACAACACACCGGCATGACCTGGAGTGTATATTAAAGGATGCTAACTACCTGGGACCTCTGAAGTGATGCTTGCCACTCTGCACGGAGCATGCCTGTCTCCGCCTTTCTAAACATGCTCTGGGAGTGAGTTACAATTATGGCATGTGTGTACAGCTGATTCTCAAGCCAGCGGAAGGTAGAACTCATAACTGAGAATTTGAGAAATGTACTTCATCCAAATGACTAACAATTTTTTTTTAAATCATCATCATCATCATAAACCACTTCTGCCGTTAAGCGTCGTGGGGAGGAATAATTTCCGTTCCATACAAGTTGGCTGCCACTAGCTATTGTCATGCCGTGAAGGCGTAGTGTGTTTTTAATGTTGTCGATCCATGTTTTTCGTGGCCGTCCTCTTGCTCTTGTAGTTGGTCTTCTGAGATGTAGTGCTTGTGATGGTATTTGATCTTGCTGCATTCTAACGAGATGGCCAAACCACTTGATCTGCTGTTTCTCGATGAATCTAGTACAAGGTGTCGTTCCCACAATTTGCCTGATAGTTTCATTATTCACTCGATCTCGTTTGGTGGTAATTATGGGCTTTAGATAGTGTCCATGTTTGGCACTGGTAGCTTAATGTTGGAATAAATACACTATTAATAATCTGTCTCTTTGCACTCATAGTTATGCTTGGGTGTCTTAATAATGGTGACAATTGGTATGTTTGTTTGTTTTAGTATCCAGAAGCCATGAGTTGTTAACCCTTAGGCTCGGTATTAAGGATATCGCAACCTTTTTGGCCTTGATTCCATTGTAAATACCGTAAATCTGGGAGAAAATGTGGCTTTTCTGCCTACCCCCAGGATTGAACCCGTACCACAAGGAGTTCGTCACCCCATCTCCACGCAATCCGGTTTAGCCAACTATGCTAGAGAGCCGGGCGACAATTGGTATAAGTGCACTTGCTTTCTGACATCTGGTTTCTATTTCTCTGTCAATTCTACCATCTTCTGTGATCATACTTCCTAGATATTTAAACTCTCAAGCTTGATTAAGGGCAGAACCATTCAACTGTGTGTGTAGTGGGTCAGAATGTCTACTAACTTGCATTGTTTCGGTTTTGTTTACATTGATCTTCATGTTGTATTTACTGCATGCTGAGTTTAACCTGTTGATGTGGTCTTGCAGTCTTATCTTCTTCAGGGTAGAACAAGCACTGGTCGTCAGCAAACAGTAGTTCGTTTAATGTGGGTGAATCGATTACTTCTCCTGATGTGTGTACTTCCTCGTGATTATAAAGGTCTATGTTGTCTGTATCAAAACTTGCTTCTTTAGATATTCTGTCTATATAGATGTTAAATAAAAGTGGGGAGAGCACACATCCCTGTCTCACACCTGTGTTGACTGTGAACATATCTGATATGCCTTCTTGTGTTTTTACTGCACTTTGGCTTGTGTGGTACTTGGCTATAATGTTCTCTAGTAACTGTCCTTGTACCCCATAGTTCTCAAGAACAGACCATAGTTTGTTTCTTTCCACACTTTTTTTTTTTTTTTTAATGACCATCATTTAAATTATTATCAACAATGGATAACAAAGGAACCAGGCCTTTCCTCTAGGGATAAAAAAAAAAATAATTACCAGAACTCACCATAAAGTGTATACAGCAATTAAAAAATAAAATAATTCTTGAAAAGGTGCCAGAACTGCATACCATTGAGAATAGCCAAAAAATAAATTAAAAAGTCCCAACAGGAGCCACTGTAGAACATTATCAGTGGGCGGGAAGGTCCTTTGTTCAAATTCACACCAAGTCAGATTTTGTTTACTGGTTTATAAAAATATGAGGTAGGCATAACATGCCCAATGCTGGCATAAAAAGTAGTCCTTTATATTCTTTAAAAAGAAATGATTAACAATATACGATATATGAAACACACACACTTGTAGAAAAACTAAACAGTAACAACATATGTTGTTTATACGCGCCACAATCTAGTGGCTCAGACTCCTTTGAGTCAGGGTGTCTGGTGTCGATGTCTGTAACACCAAAGCTATCAGCATTTAATGTTTCTTCTGTGTGTTCCTGGGGTCAATAAGGGTCAATAAAGGAGGCAAGAAATGGAATCCTGAATCTAGCTAGGGGAGGTAATCAAGTAATCGAAGTTCCAACTTCATAGCAAACAGGTCACCCCATGATTGCTCAGTTTCTGTGCCAATGAAAACAACAGAGAACATTCATCACTGTCCCTTGAGAGAAAAAACCGGACTCAGACTGCACTCTTAGCAGACGTATGCATGCAGATGCACGCACGCACGCACACATATTAAATACATAAAGCAGCAGTCAAAAGTTCAAACAAAAACAGTCATGTGAAGTAAAGAACTCATAAAGGACTATTTTCCATGCTTTCAGGTGAATTAGGCACACAGGGCTAGACCTATATTCTACAGACTAGTTGGCACTTAGTGGGTGACGAACACAGTCTGACACTACAGTTAGAGCTTATTTTTTAAATACCTCACATGATGTAGCAAGTGGCCGAAGAGGGTTGTTGTGTTATTGGATACTATAGAAAAAGTTAAGCTGTGAAATCTAGATAATCATGAAAATATCAACAACAACAAAAATTATGGGTTGTCAAGTAGACCATGCATCCAAGTACACTTGTTCCTGCAATGGATTCAAAGTTATCACCTGGAGGTGAGACGTTCGATTCCCAGAGTGGCTCTTACAACTGTAAATAGTTTCTTAGTGGAAACAAATTTTTAAATCCCTAAAGCCAAAGTTGTCCGATCAACATCTGCCCGTGCTACTGCCAACCGCCGACTGACAAAGTCAGTCCAATGAACGTCTGTCCAATGAACCAACCATCCGCTTGTCACTCTGGTCATGTAGGTAGGCACTCAATTTGTATATATAACACCATAACTTCAGTACCTGCTGCAAGATCAGCATTTCGTCTCATCGGAATCTCTGATAAGCGCAGCGGGAGAGACTGTCCAAGACCTGGCATCAAAACCTAGGTCGACCCCCCCCCCCCTTTCCCAAAATTGTCTAGGAGGATAATGGGCTAAAACGATTGCTGAAAGGGGAACCCACCTACTGATGATTGGTAAACTGCTGCTATGCATGCTTTCACTGTGGAGTTCTTCTGATTATTTTACTGTAAATTGTTATTTTATATAGCGTGTTTGTTAATAATGGTTAACCATGAACTAGTCTACAAAGGACAGCCTATGCTCTATTGAAAGATAGGTGGGCAGAAAAAGAAAAGAAGAGTTTTTCATGTCTGATTCCTTCTATTTGAGGCAACTCACTATGTTAATTACTTAACTGAGTTCTCTTTTCACTGCAGACGGGTCGCCCCTAACTGCTCCATTCCTGTGCCAGTGGAACTCACACAAAATGTCCTTTACTGTCCCATATGAAAACTAATGAAAAACATGTTAGTCCAAGCAAAATTGTGAAGCTTGCACATGCAAAGTGAATGCAGCAGGCAGCTGTCAGGTGTGCTAACACTTACAGTCCCACACCAGGATTCCAGCTCACTACTGATGCAAGCACACAATTACAAAAGTTTGCACTGTACACAGAATACCAAATAAATACATACTATTAGTAACGTAATTAGGCCCCCCCCCCCCCCCCCCCCCCCCACCAACCACTTTTAGCACAGTTCACAACACAAAGCAGCTAGATGGCAGCGTGAAGACGTGTTTGCGGCGACACTCGATTTTATTCTAAAATTTTCACTTAGTCTGTGTTTTTCTCTTGATAACAAAGTGCGATTATTACGAATTCATTGACGATGGATATTCTCTTGTTCGTGGATACAAGTATTATGTGGTTTAGGGGTGTTATAACGGAATTATTTCCACAAAATAGCCACGGCGGCGGCCGTGTCCTAATTCCGATAATGTAACCGCGTAGGAGCCACGCTCCCATTATAAACATGGGAGTCCACGGGTAAGACCCCAGTCTACTCTAGCAAAACAAGGTGCTGAAGTCGGAGGCAACCAGCCAGGAGGCGCACCACAGCAATCAGGATGCCACGCACAAACGCAACAGGGAATATTTCTATATCTGCAAATAAGTTTGATTTCCACCATGCGACCCACTCACGTACACGTGGTTCGATTTACCGGCCTAAGACAAGAAGAAAGAGTCCAGCTTCAAATACTCGAAGCCTCCCCCTAATGCACCGTAGAACCAGAAAAGCAGAAAATACAGCTAGCCTTAAAATAATGCACTGGAACGCGGAGGGAGTAAATACCAAGAAATTAGAATTAGAAAACGTCTTGAACGAAGAGAATGTACATGTATGCTGCCTACAAGAGACTTATCTCAAACAAGATATGGCCTTTAAGATCAGAGGCTACCAGTGTTTCCGATCTGACCGCAAAGACAGGAGAAAAGGTGGAATTCTTACCCTGGTCAAAAATAACATCCTTGCGGGCCGGATCGAAACATACATGGAAGGTGCTGAGTATCAAACACTTGAGCTCAAGTTAGAAAATACAGATCTACATCTGACCAACTATTACTGTCCGAGCGACCGCCCTCAGGCACTGGATACAGTACTAATAAATGAAAAAATGATCATTTGTGGGGATTTTAATAGCCATTTCCAAAGTTGGGGATACGATCATATGGACCAGAGAGGAGAGAAACTAGAGGACTGGCAGGATGAGAATAGGTTCATCCTCGTTAATAAGCCAACCGACCCACCAACCTTCTACTCTAGAGCATGGCATACCACCTCGACACCAGACCTAGCCTTTCACTCACCAGACATGGAACTGAATGTTACCAGAACTATTGGGAAGCAACTAGGAGGCAGTGACCACCGGCCAGTCTTTCTAACTATAGAAAGCCAGTCTGTAAGAGAGAGCAGCACACTGCCAAGGTGGAATTTTAAGAAGGCAGACTGGAAGTTGTATCAGCTTCGCACAAATGTTCTGCTGGAAAATCTAAACACAGATAACGACGTAGAAAAAGTAGTCCAAGAGTTGAGCAAACGCATGCTGCAGGCAGCCCTAGAAGCAGTTCCAAGAGGTGCGTGTAAACAATACAAACCGTACTGGAATTGCGATCTGGAGCAACTGCACAACAATATGGAAACAGAAAGAAAACAAGCTGAGACCAGACCTTGTCAAGAGAAGTTTAACAACTACCAACATTCAAAGGCCAAATTTCAAAGAGCCAAACTGCAGGCTAGACGGGCAAGCTGGCAAGAAAAGACAAAGTCTCTAAACTTTGAAAGAGACATAAGGAAGTTGTGGAGGTTAATTAAGCAAATTAATGAGGAGAATACAGGAAGAAATGGTAATATTGCACTATGCAAAGAGGGAGCCATCCTAACAAGAAAACAGGCAGCTGACCACTTTGCAGATTCCTTTGCAGAAGACAGCAACATTAATGTCAGCCCAGAGAAACAGCGAGAGGTTCAAGAAAACAAACAACATATAAGACAAAAAGATATAATTCCTGAGGCACTGGTGGCAGCACTTACATCCAGCGAGTTAGAGTTAGCAATATCAAAGCTGAGAATGGGAAAATCACCTGGAATTGATGGTATCACCAACGAAATGATCAAGAACCTTGGAACAACTGCCAAAAAAAAGCTGCTACAGATCTTTAATCATTGTTGAACCAGTGGCAAAGTTCCTCAAATATGGAGAGAAGCAATCACAATACCTCTGCTTAAACCAGGAAAGGACAGTTCTGATGCCTCCAGCTATAGACCGATCAGTCTTACCAGCTGCCTCTGTAAAACAATGGAACGTATTGTCAACCTTAGACTCCAATGGTACTTGGAAAGTGAAAACATTTTCACGCCGCAGCAGGCAGGATTTAGACAGTGCTACTTCACAGAAGACCAGACAACTCACCTTTCACAAGAAATTGAGGATGCCTTCCAGGAAAAGAAGCTAGTGCTAACGGCATGGATAGATCTGAAGAAAGCCTTTGACAAGGTCTGGAAAGAAGGTCTACTGAAGAAACTGAGAGACTGCAGGGTGAATGGGAGAATGTACAAATGGGTGAAAGCATACTTGTATAACAGAAGATCCCGAGTACAGATAGATGGACTTAAGAGTAAGAAAGTTTTGCTGCGCCATGGGGTCCCACAAGGAGGTGTTCTGTCCCCCACACTCTTCCTAGTCTATATCAACGACCTGCTTTCTGAACTACCCCATGGAATTAAAGCTGCAATGTATGCTGATGACTTGGTACTCTGGTGTACAAATGAAAATGCGACAGTGGCCACCAGGCTGCTACAAAGAGCCATAGATGCAATGGCTGATTGGGCCAACAAATGGTGTGTCAGCATCAACATAGGCAAATGCAGCACCACCCTCTTTACCCTTTCTCCTAAACAAAAACCAGGTGTCATGCACATCTTGAATACGGATCAACAGCATGGAGTTCGGCATCAAAAACCACATTGCAAGAATTAGACAAAGTGCAAAATCAAGCACTCAGAGTTAGCACAGGCAGTATGAAATCAACACCTATAGCTGTAATGGAGAAAATGGGGATGACCCAAGCACTGAGTGAACGCAGAGACACCAAGATGCTTTTACAAGCAAAAAAGTTTCTTAGTATGCCCAGTCACCCTATGAATGAAAGATTCCAAAATTTAGCTTTGGGACGACTAAAGAGAAGTAGTTTTATCCACCAGGCCAAACGGCTCGGCAGACAAACCACTGATTTACCTGCAACTGATAGATCCTTAAATGCTGTCCCAGAACGGACCCCCTGGAGAGAGGAGTATAAGTTTCCAATACACATCAAGACTGAAGTGAAAGGGGTATTTGACAAGGAAGAACAAAACAGTGTGCAGCGCAAAACAGCCACCCTCAGTCTACTTGATGATGAATACCCGCAGAACCTTTGGGTCCGTGTTTACACAGATGGGTCAGCAGAAAGTGCAGTCAGAAACGGAGGTGCATGAGTGTACATTGAGTATCCTAATAATACCAGGGATACAGCCAAATTACCAACGGGAAAGCACTGTCACAACTATGATACAGAAGTTCAAGCCATCAAGATAGCGGTAGAGAAACTACTAAATACAGGGTATTTTTCACAACCAGTGGTATTCCTGACAGATGCAAAAGCAGTACTTCAGTCACTCCAGTCTGGAAAATTACCAAGCTTACGGACACTATTATCCAAACTAGGCAACCGCTGTAAATTAGTAATGCAGTGGATACCTTCCCACTGTGGAGTTCCCGGAAACGAAAAAGCTGATAAACTAGCTAAGGAAGGTGCAACTGAAGAACAACCTAACATACCAGTCTCTTATCAACAGAAGAAGAGAATGATCAAATCAATTAGAATGCCACCGAAACTGGCACAAGATGATTATCATATTATGGACAGACCAGAGCAAGTCATTATCCTTCGCCTTAGAACAGGGCACAATCGACTTCGCTCCCACATGTACAACAAATTTAAGATTGGCCAATCAGTCATGTGTACTTGTGGACTGGCACCTGAAACAACAGATCACATCCTTCAAGACTGTCCCAGATTCAACGCTTTCAGGCAAAACCTTTGGCCAAAAGAGACACTTGTGGAAGTCAAACTTTACGGGCCGCTTAGTGAATTACAAAAGACAGTGAAATTCATACTAGAGACAGCTTTGCAGATATAGACAATTTATTTCATGCGAACGAAAGAAGAAGAAGAACAACAAAGCAGCTACAGGCACAACAGAAAAAAAACATTTCAAATGAAATCCACAGCTCACAGTGTTACACCAAGTGCTCAACTCAGCAACTATGATGAAACTCACTCTGCATGATCAGCTATAATTTGTGTATACTCTACATCAAAAAGTGCACTGTAGCTAGTCACTGACCAGTGTGGTCGACTATCAAAAAGGGAAGCAACAGCATCTTGTTCTAATTACATTGTCTCAATACACGTACCAGTCATATCCCACTTTTATACATCTTTATATCAAAACTTCCTTGTGTGGGTTCCAGCACTTCATTATGTGTGGGGGGGGGGGGGAGGGGGGATAGACCCACTATCCAGTTAACAAACATGTCATAAAAGTATACTAATTGGGGGTGTTTCCTTTAAAGTCAGAGTGCATCTACTTGAAAGGCAAGGAACTAGCAGTCTGCACACACATAAGCCAGGTCCATAAAACATATGTGCATGCGCATCTCAAGTTCTGAAACAAGACTAAAGTCCAGAAGCAGATGAAGAACCAAAACTTTCAGCGGGAGTTTACAGCCAGTGAAGGTAAAGAAGAATAAATCAAAGTATCTCATTACATGCCTTAACAATTAAAAATGGCAGATATAATTGTGCAGAAAAAAAAAACAGTGGCTTACCATGCTGTGGATCATAAATGACACTTGTTTTGTCCAAATCTTTTTGTTTTAAGAATTTTCCGATCCGTTTCAAAGAAACACTTGCCTGAAAGGTGCCAATATGTTATTACTGGTTAGGTTCATGCCACAAAAAGCAGGTAAATACTTTACAAACATCATATGAAATTATCTGTTTAGACAATACATGGGTAGTTTACAACTTCTTCAAGATTTCTTATTGGTTAAATAATAAAGCTGTCATTAATGTTACCTAATCAACTAGTGTTACATCTGCCCCTGACATTTCACTAAAGTACAAGGTGGAAAAGAAGAAGAAGAAAATTGACACAAACTGCAGTCTCAGCAAAACCAATTGTTTACATATACATTAAATGTATAAGGCAGCCATCAGAAGAGCCAACACAAACAGTCTGACCCTAGAAATGTAGCTCATCATTGCTGGAAGCAGCAGTTACATCAGATCTGTAGTTGTACATGGATTAAGGTACCACCAATTTTCTGGCAACAGGCCACTTGCCTTTTTCCTAATCTTTAGTTAACAAACCATGTTGAGCACAACTGGAAGGCATTCCAGATTAAATCTGCACCTCACAGTGTCACTCCATGCACTAAATTCAGTAGCAGGGTGATGGAACAATTAAATAACAATTTTTGATTTTAATGTAATGGTAAACAATTTAACCCAAACAAAAGGGAAAATAATACCTGCACTACAAGTGACACCATCATTGGTAAAAGGTTAATTGGGAAGCGCAAGATGTTGAACAATGACAGGGCAACAAAAGCTTTTCCAGCATCCAAGTAATGACTTTCTGACACTAACACATACGTGGCAAATGTTGCCAAGGTAACCTGAAAATATTAGACACACTGAAACATTCTTGATTGTGATAATACATTTTTTATAAACTCTTCTGCTATAAGGAATTCATCATATATTTATTACATTTGCCTAGCATATATGCTTTTTCTTAGCTCCTTGTACATACTACAGCTGTAGCGATATCCCACTCAATCCCAGTTAATAATTCCACTCCTTTTGTCCGAAAGAGTTGTTATTTTTATTCCTACCTCAGCACACACTATTTTAAGCAATAACTGATTAAGAAAAGAGGCATTAAAGAAAAATATATGGAAGTGAGAGTGTTAAAACTCAAAACTTTGGTAAAATATTCACTATAGAAACTGCGGAATCCATTGCACTTTTTCCTATATCCGGCATTAACCTGAATATATTTATTCAAAATTTTTTTTAAAGCTTGCTGGTATCTCCTAAAGCAAGTTGGACTGTACACTGTCAGGCTGTGGCTCAGTATTTTTTTATTTCCACTTTATTAGAAATGTTTTCTGGTGTTATTTTACTAGCTCTTTACTTTTGCATGTGCAGCATATGCAGTTCCATAACATAGCCTTTCCCATTTTTGTGTTCATAAAACTTATTCAACAGACCCATGATATCATTCACAAAAAGACACTAAACTTTAGAATGCAGTCCACCCCATGTGGTGTTGAGGGCTTAGTTTTGGAGAATAAAGATTGGACCCACTGTGTCACTAACAAGGATATCACATGGGGAAGGTCACATTTCAAGACAGCAGATACATTTCTGCTAGATTTAGGTCTAGATTTGTTTAGCACAATCAGAAATGGAACTCTTTGCTGGCTGCTGAAAAGGAGGGTGGAGCATGTATAAGAATGTCCCAAATACTCCAATGTCAATCTTGACTCACCTCAACTCAATTCAGGTCCAGATTTGTAATACTTTCTTCCCACATTTTAGGAATTACAAAGCCGATAAACTTGAATCCAATTCCCAGAGCAAAACAAAAACCAAAAGTGTGTTTGTTTGTATAAATATATATTTATGTGTGTTTGTATCTCAGCCCAGAGGAGCAGAAGCAGACAAACCATCAGCCTGCTCGTTGCCTCACACACATGAATCTCCCCTGGACAGATAATGCATGATATGCTCTTGATCCGGGTCTTATCAAGTGATGCAAGCAATTCTGTACACAGGACACCAGTTTAAATTTTCTGAAACATGCTCTGTGAGTCTGTTACAACCACATGTTGGGCTGTGCTGTTCTCAAGTCATCGGAAAGCCGCAGTTCCTGACTTCACTTCCTTTCTCATACTGGATGTAGTGATGTTGTATGTGAGGCTATGTGTTTTCAAGCAGTGTCTATTCACCTTTAGGTTAAAACCCTACCCATTCTTCTTATCTCTCACTATAAACCCCTTTGTATATATTATGATGTCACCTGCTGCCTCTGTTTCACCAGCTATCTGTTAGTGACACCCTCAATATAAGCTAACTACATATCCAGATGTCATTTACTTTCTTTATAATGCTCTCTGATAAGACAAGTGGTTAAATTATAAAAGATTTCCTAAACAAAATTTTTTAGCCACATTGAAAGGCATAACACTGGTTAAAAACAATAATGAAGGAAAACGTTGAGGTAAGAGAGCAAGAAGTAGGCAATAAAACAATTGGGAGGACAATACCAAGAGATGGATGAACGGAAGTCTGAGGGAGTTGGCAACCAAGACAAGAGACAGAGTTTGCTGGGGATAAAATCCAAGGTGACTATTACTCTGTACAAGTCTGTTTTTGCTGGGCGGCACTGTAACACATTTGTCACTACATACTATCTTGTCAGTAACTATCTTGCTGACATTGCCGTTGCTATGACTGGTCCAGTAAGTAATGTTATCAATGCCATGCACTGCACTCACCGTACCAAGGAGCACGCCAAAGGACATGACTCTGTATCTCTGTCTAGACTGATGGACATGGGGGTGCAGCCTGGAGCATTTCACTAAGGGGACAAGACGTTTTACCAACACAGAACAGGCGTCATCAGTCATTTTACACTTGTGGAGCTTTTGAGAAGGAGATTGGAGCACCTATGGATCTGTCCGGAGTGCTGTGATGATAATCATTTCTAATCACTAATCACTATCTTGTCAGTAGCACAAACAGTTCTGATTGTGATTTCTGCCTGTGTCATTGCAGTGCCACCTCTTTTCAGTCGTTGTCCCTAGCGATCCCCTAAGGCCTCATGCAGATAGTTTTTCCTGTCCACTTCAACTTTAAGGTACATTTTCACCTGTAAAACCTTGTATCTCTCAATCACAGATGGTAATGCAAGTATGCATGCACACAGTAATCAGTTGATGGTAGAGTGTATAGAGCATTTTTTGTTTCATGTCCGCTGATGCCTTTGCCTTAAGCATTAAGTCCTTTAACTATCTTTAAAACCACCTCTTCCACTTGGTGTTTGAAAGACAGACTCCTGAAAAAAAATTAATTCCTAGATGAGGTTTGAGGTTTGAAGAACGGATCAACATCATGGCACACGGGTAATAACCCATAAGTACTCCATTCTTCTTCTAACTCAAGTCTGAGTCAGAAGAAGCTCAGCACAGTGTACAGGCTCTGTAGCATCAGTGAGGATCCTGAAATACTTTGGGTAGATTTTTAACTTTAAACTTTTGCCCGTGCAGCGCTGTTAGGCTACTCTTTTCGATTTCCAACTGCCAAGGGATTTGTTATGTGTGCAACAATACACACGGGCATCCCATCTCACTACCCAGAGACCAGGGGTAACTACTAGAAGTCCAAATCCGCGTGAAAAAAATTCCAGATCTTACCGGGGATTGAAACCAGAACCTCTAGCACTCGAGGCAGACACCTTGCCTCGAGACGTTTCCTAGATGTTTTAGTGAACTATCTTTCTCTATATTACTGTCACTGACTGTGATGTCAGGCAACACATCTCTAACTATTCGATTATTTAAAGAACACCAGAATACAGCTATGTCCATAAATTATGATTGAACAATTTACTATATAAGGAGCACATGTCCAGATAAAGGTGGCACAGGCACTTAGGTATGCTGTCTTTTTCAGTATCACCAGTTCTTTGTGCCGAATTTCCTCAACTTTTTCTTGAAATGAAGTCTCCCAGGCATACAGTTTCAGAACCTTAAAAAACAAATGCATCTTTTTAACATAGTTTAAGCATTTCAAATGTTCAAAGATCACATAATATGTCTGAAGTTTTATCAAAGATTTAAAATTAACACTTTAAAACAAAATAAGAATAAATTCCAAGTATCCAAATATGCTGGCCCTCAAAATGTTCAAAATAAACAAAATATCATCCCATGTGTTATTAAAATACGCATGTGTCTGTATTTATTAAAAATGTTTACATTGAACATATCTTTTTAAATTACTTTTTTAATGGCATGCAGTGAACTACATATTCGTGTTGAATGTTGAATTAAGAATCAATATCACAGCACTCAGGACACTCCCATAAATGCTCAGTCCCCATCTTCAGCTGCAAAAGAAGTGTTCCAATTCCGATGGTAACTACATATCCATGTGTTTTCCAGACATCACTTACTTTCTTTAAATTATTAAAACTTTCCTAACTAAAAATAGTTCAGCCACATTAAAAGACATAACAGTCATTAAAATCAATAATGGAGGGAGACGTTAAGGCAAGAGAGCAAGAAGAAGGCAACAAAACAAGTAGGAGGACAATACCAAGAGATGGATGAACAGCAGCAGTCTGAGAGACTTTACAACCAAGACAGGAGACAGAGTCTGCTGGGGATCAGTTCCAGTCAGTCTTCATTGCAGAGACAACACCTGATTGTTTGACTGAAATATTGCTTTGACTTCTCAATTTCTGAATCTTTAACCAAGTTTGTTCCACTAGGTACGTTAACTCTTCCATAATCACATATTTCTTGTTAAATATCAAGTGTCTAAGATTAAAAAAGAGTTAATCTTATGCCCAAGGAAAGATAGTACAAACAACTTCTAGTGCAGATTTTTTTCTTAATAATAGTGTACTGTGGTAGCTATCTGGGTATTTGCCAAAAAAGCTAGCTAACTGTGGGATCAATCAAACAGGTATAGCAGTAACTTTCTGGGCATTTGCCAAAAAGCTAGCAGACTGTGAGATCAATCAATCAGTTGCAGCAGTAACTCTCTAGGCATTTATCAGAATGCTAGCTGACTGTGAGATTAATCAATCAGGTGAGGCAGTAACTTTCTGGGTATTTGCCAGAAAGCTTGCTAACTGTGAGATCAATCAATCATTTGCAGCAGTAACTCTCTGGGCATTTGCCAGAAAGCTAGTTAACTGTGAGATCAATCAATCATTTGCAGCAGTAACTCTCTGGGTATTTGCCAGAAAGCTTGCTAACTGTGAGAACAATCAATCAGGTGCAGCAGTAACTCTCTGGGCATTTGCCAGAAAGCTAGCTAACTGTGAGATCAATCAATCATTTGCAGCAGTAACTCTCATTGTATTTGCCAAAAAGCTAGCTAACTGTGAGAACAATCAATCAGTTGCAGCAGTAACTCTCATTGTATTTGCCAAAAAGCTAGCTAACTGTGAGAACAATCAATCAGTTGCAGCAGTAACTCTCATTGTATTTGCCAAAAAGCTAGCTAACTGTGAGAACAATCAATCAGTTGCAGCAGTAACTCTCATTGTATTTGCCAAAAAGCTAGCTAACTGTGAGATCAATCAATCAGGTGCAGCAGCAGTAACTCTGGGCATTTGCCAGAAAGCTGGTTAACTGTGAGATCAATCAATCAGGTGCAGCAGCAGTAACTCTGGGCATGTGCCAGAAAGCTGGTTAACTGTGAGATCAATCAGGTGCAGCAGCAGTAACTCTCTGGGCATTTGCCAGAAAACTGGTTAACTGTGAGATCAATCAATCAGGTGCAGCAGCAGTAACTCTGGGCATGTGCCAGAAAGCTGGTTAACTGTGAGATCAATCAATCAGGTGCAGCAGCAGTAACTTTCTGGGCATTTGCCAGAAAGCTGGTTAACTGTGAGAACAATCAATCAGTTGCAGCAGTAACTCTGGGCATGTGCCAGAAAGCTAGCTGACTGTGAGATCAGTCAGGTGCAATTGCCACAAGGAAGCGGGCCTACAATGAATAGATGTGGTAGTGTATATTTCAAGCATGCTTGCCTGCAAGCATGGTAGTCATGGTAGTTATTTCAAAAACTAGACACAGACTTTGAAGTGGTGCATCCTAAAGTGGGGATCAGGGATGTTCAAGCAGCTGGTGTGAAAGGGACCACATCATCCACTCAGTGCAGTTAGTCTAGAAAACTATGTTTCTTACCATATTTTGTCACATTCTTTGATTACATTAACCCATAATACCCCAATGGTAACTTTAATTATGGCTAATATGTGCATTGTTTTTACACCATAAAGACCCCAGTATTTGTAGTATAATGTATAGATACTGTGATTGGCAATATTTTAGTAACAACTATGTGGGACTGGAAAAATAGTTATAAGATACAAAGAGTTAAAGTGTCCCTGAACATACTTTGCTCAAACAAATTTAAGACAACAAATATGGGACGTTACTTTCTGAAAGCCCCTTCTTTATTTTCTTACTTTAATCCCATTCAGAACCTCACTCATTAGTTTGATTCTCTGATCCTTGTACTTCATCCCAGCAATCTGGTACTGCCTTTGTTTCATGGCAATGAGAGCATTGATTGGCATCAGAAGTATCATGACAGCTAGTCCTGCCAGAGTGGCAACACCCATCTCTCCCCACAGCATAAACAGAGCCAAGAAAATCTGAAATGCAGTTTCATAAATTATATCATTAATGTAAGGAGCAGAAACATGGAGAACAACTAAGGCAATTACAAATAAACTACAGACATTCATTCACTGGTGCCTGGGCAGAAAAGAGGGAATTAAATGTTATGATATAATAACTAATGTAGAGCTTTGGGAGAGAACTCAGCAAGCTCCAGTGGACCAAGAGGTGAAGAAAAGACACTGGCACTGGATGTTTGTTTGTTTGTTTGTTTGTTTTAGTAACCAGAAGCCATGAGTTTTTAACCCTTATGCTCGGTAGTATGGATATCGCAACCTTTCGGCCTTGATTCCATGTAAATACCATAAATCTGGGAGAAATGTGGCTTTTCTGCCTACCCCAGGGAGTGAACCCGGACCACAAGGAGTTCATCACCCGCTCACCACGCAATCCGGTTTAGCCAACTATGCTAGAGAGCCGGGCTACTGGCACTGGATAGGACACACATTGAGAAAACCGGAGGACAATATAACTAGAATGTCTTTGCACTGGAACCCACAGGGGTATAGGAATAAAGGAAGGCCAAAAAACACATGGACAAGGGAGCAGGAGAATAAAGCTAGAAAGATCGGGAGGACATGGGGAGAGCTTCATGTGATAGCAAAAGATAGAACGACTCAGTGTGAGTTGGTTGAGGGTCTATGCTTCATTGGGGGCTAGAAAGGCAGAAGAAGAAGGTATCCAAAGTTTTACTGACTGGACTGGCTCAAACACAAAAACATCAATTCAAGTGCAACTGATTGTACAAAACTGAAAAGACTTGATGAAACTTCTTCTTGTTCTTAATCTTCTGTTTTACCGCGCTTGGTGTTAAGGCAGAAATACGGTTCTGCTTCTCGCTCTTCTGGCTGCCTGGACCACAGACACATTGTGCTGTTGTAGAGCTGATCTGATGTTAACTTTTTCATCTTGCTCTTGGTCTATCTTGTGCTCTATGTCCTCCTTTCATGCGTGTGTGTCTGCATGTATGACTGTGTGTATGTGTCTGCATCTGTATCTCTGTATGTGTGTCTGTGTGTGTGTCTGAGTGTGTATGTCTGTGAGTTTGTATCGGTGTGTGTATGTGTGTGTGTGCCGGTGTGTATGTATGTCTGCGTATGTGTCTGTGTGTGTGTGTCTGTGGGTGTGTGTCTGTGTCTTCATGAGCATCAGCATGTGTGTGTGCAATTGTGTGTGTATGTGTATCTGCAAGTGTGCATGTGTGTGTGTATCTGTGTCTGTTTGTGTGTGTGTCTGCATCTGTATCTCTGTGTGTGTCTCTGTGTGTATTGTCTGTGGGTATGTCTGCATATGTGTGTATCTGTGTCTGTTTATGTGTGTGTCTGCCTCTGTGTGTGTTTGTGCATGTGTTTATGCCCACATGTGTGTATATGCGTGTGTGTGTGCATGCCTAATTTGGGACCCTTTGAAAATAAGTTTGTTCGTTCATTAGTTTGTTTGTTCTGTATCCTTTTCCTCTTTTGGGGTATATGCCTTGCAAACATATTATTTTCATGGTTTTCTAATTTTATGTTAAGATTTGTTGTGAGTAACCTTTCTGGCACTGGCAGCACAGAGTTGGGATGAATATGCTTTGTATGAGATTTTTCTTCATATTGGCTGGGATTGTCTTATACCTGTGATTCCCAAACTGTGCGCCTCGGCGCCCAGGTAGTCACGACCTCTTCACAGGGGAACCGCAAAATATTCAAGGAGACAAAAGTTTTTGTTTTTTTAAATCACTTACATATGAATATTTATACTTTTACTTAGGTTTAGGGAACCGTGGAAACATTTTAATTGAAAAAAGGCACAGGTCTCTTTGTATTCTTATTAGAATATTGCATCCATTACTGGCTTTCTAGTCCTGTCACAACTTCGCCACAGCCCTGTTTGCTGGGACATTTTGAGGTAACCCAGCATGGTCTTAATGGGTACCGTAGTGGCCCAGTGGCTGCCTAATCAGTCAACCATAACTTGGTACTTCAATAACATGCAGTTTTACAGGACTATAGACACAGACAGATTTATTGATGGATGTTTGGACCAATAGACTAACAGACAGGGAAGGCAGACAGGCATAGTGACAACATGTGACTAATTATGTGAAGCTATTTGTTGTCACATTTTAACCCAACCTTACGAGTTTGCCTAAAAAAAATAAATGCTGAATATAATTTAATTGGGAGAGTTAATTCACCTGCAGGGGAGCAGACCACATGACCCACAGGTAGCCAGTCACATCCTGTAGGCGCTGGCAGTCCACCGACATGAGATTCACTATCTCTCCAACAGTAGATTCTTTCTTGGCTTCGTTGCTGATGGTCAGACTCTAATTATGGGAAGAAAGCATTAAATGCATTAATAGAAGTTAAAAACTGGTTTGTTAACACTGTGATTTTTAAATGCAGTATTCTCTTCTATGTGGTTTGCTACATAACAAGGCTCTTCAGATAAACTTTCTGTATATTAACTCTTTGAGTCCCAGAGGGTTTAGCATCGCAGGCCCAAGGGGTAGTCAAGAGATACGTAAAATCGGCGCATCATGTGTTCATTGGGCTTCTAGGCAGTAACCTATGAACGTATGATGTCCTTGGGACTCACAGAGTTAATACCTGTTGTATGTTCTTTCCAATAATAAGATAAACAAACATAACTGATAAAGTGTAATGATATAATAATAATAAATTATACTAAAAACATACGGTGTAAATTCTCTCTGACCCGCTACCTCCTTTTCTTCTCTATCTCTCTCTGTCCATCTTCTCTCTGCCTATCTACCCCCCACTCTTTCTCTCTCTCTTTCTAACATATCACTATTATTTCCTATTTTAATGAATGAAATGCAGCCTTGTTAAATTTTTTAGAATAGATAACAGTAATATGTGATGATAGGAGAGTGCAGTGTCTTACTAATTCTTTAAACATGGATCAGATATGGAGTACCATATATAAGTTACAAGTATATTTATTGGTATTTTCAATGTTTTTATTTATTTCTCATTTACCATTTATATATACTTGACCCAATATGATTTCATTTTGGTAAACTTTTCTTTCTTGAAGTAAACTTTAAGTTATTTTAAACAATGGTGACTTAAACACAAATTCTAGTGCCTTTTTTGTGTGTATGTTGAAAAAGTTTCAATTATTATAAGGTGTGCCAGAATAAGTGAAAGTAACAACTGGGACAAAGTGGGTTAGTTTAACACTTGGATGGGGCACAGACAGTTAAGAAATGTAGATTACATCAGAAACTAACAACAGAGTTGAGATATGTAGATTAAGTCAGTAGAAACTAACAACAAAGTTGAGAAATGTAGATTATGACAGCAGAAACTAACAACAGAGTGGACAAATGTAGATCTGTCAGTAGAAGCTAACAACAGAGTTGAGATATGCAGATTAAGTCAGTAGAAACTAACAACAGAGTTGAGATATGTAAATTAAGTCAGTAGAAACTAACAACAAAGTTGAGAAATGTAGATTATGACAGCAGAAACTAACAACAGAGTGGACAAATGTAGATCTGTCAGTAGAAGCTAACAACAGAGTTGAGATATGCAGATTAAGTTACTAGAAACTAACAACAGAGTTGAGATATGCAGATTAAGTTACTAGAAACTAACAACAAAGAAACTGAGCATAGAAATTGAGGATCTGAGCACCTATGGACATGTCCGGAGTGCAATGATACTAACTAATTAACTAACATAGAAACTAACAAATATTTGAGAAATGTAGCTTATGTCAGAAGGAACTAACAGCAGAGTTGAGAAATGTAGAACATGCCAGCATAAACTAACAAACAATTGGTGCATTGATTGCAACTGAAAGAGTTAAGTTTAACATAAATATTCATAAAAATATTTTAAATGACAACAGTGCAACACACAGATGTCACCTTTTTATACACTGCAGCAATGAGAGCAGATTTTATCCGCATACCCAAGGTCATTCCAATGTGAAAGTTTAGATTAAACATTATAGATCCTAAAACCGCAACGACAAAGAATGCTGAAGCATACACATATCCCTTCCATTCTTGATGACGTTCCTCATTCTCTCGAATGTTTTTTGTGTAGTCAATAAGAATACTGTTGAAAAAAAAAATGAAAATACATACATGACTGAAAGTAGAAATATGTTTTTACCTATATTAAACCATTAGCACAAATCATTCAAATATTATTCAATGTACTTTCTATTTGCTTTTTTCCAATGGAATTTGCCAGTTGTTATTAACTTTTTGCAAGTATCTCTTCTCACAGTGTGTCTAAAAATCTTGAAATAAACTTCACTCACAAAGAGAACTGTTTATCTGTATCAGAAAAATATAATACACATCCCTGCTTTATTTTTTTTTTAACCTATTGACATTACTTCAGTCTTTTCAGTGCTAAATCTTATATGACTTGTTTTACATTCTTTATTCATAGATGTTAGATGTAGTTGCAATTTTATGACTGTGTTTAAGTTAATAATTTTATTCCTAGGCTTGGCATCCTTGCATATAGACAGTTTCCCCCCCCCCCCCCCCCCCCCCCCCCCCCCCCCCCCGCCCCAAACAAAAATTAAATACAGTAGGAAGGTGATGAATGTTAAGTGGGATTAATTCAAGAAAAGTGAAGAAATAAGCGAAAACTGGACAACTGCTTTCTTCTTCTTCTTCTTCTGCGTTCGACATCAGTCATGCTAGACATTGAGTCCCGTCTGGGTCACAAATAGGATTGTGCGTTTAAGGTCGCCACCAGTCCCCCATAGCTTCTCTTTCAATGTGGCTCCCTTGGGCCAGATCCACAGTCATTGCTGGGAGAGGTTAGGGCAGTGCTGTAGTATGTGCCCAGGAGTCTGTCGTTTTGCTCCACAATCACAGGCAGCAGATTCTTTTATGCCTATCCTGTACAGGTGTGCTCGAAGACCACAGTGTCCAGTCCGAGGGTCTAAAAATTGTTTGTTCTTTCCTGTTGAGTTTGTTTATGCTGTCACTCTCTGTATTGTAATCTCCATTCTGCCTTCGCCACTCCCGCTTGAAAGACTGCTTTAGCGCTGTTTTGGTTTTCTTGTAGCTGTGTGGTGGATGAGGTTGTGGAAGATTACTCCCAGCTTTTGCCAACTCATCTGCTCTCTCATTTCCTTGAATACCACAGTGGGCTGGTGTCCACTGCAAGATCAGTTCTGCTTCCTTGGAAAGTAAGCCAATGTTAGTCCTTAGATAGCAATTAGTTTGTCTTGTTTTTTGCTTGATAGTGCTTTGAGAACTGACAATGAGTCACTAAGTATAACAATTTTGTGCACTCTGTGTTCTTGATTGATGAGATGTTGGACTGCAGAAAGGAGGGCAGTTGCCTCAGCTCTGAAGTTAGTGCAGATGTCACCTGCTGGTAGAGAGAGAGTTTCTACTCTACTGCTAGGGGGTTTAATGTATATTCCACAACCCCCCTTTCTGACTGCATCTATAGCAGAGCCGTCGGGGAAAACCTGAGTCCAAGTGGTGTTTGGATACTTCTCATCAAGCATAGAAAGAGCCAGGGTTCTCTGTTGTGTCTCCGTCTGGGCATCTTTTGAAGTGATCCCTGGTACCATTAGGGCTACATTTGCCTTCTCTGGCCTGCTTGTCCATGGTTCTGGCCTAAGTTTTTCGCACAGTGCTACATCACTTTCAAGCAGATCTCGGTGCTGTCCGTACAGTTCTCTAGCAAGGTGGTTGGGACTCTGACGCTTCAGTCTGTTTTTTGTTCTCTCTTGAAATTTAAAATGCAGTGGATGACTTTCAAGTCTTTTTAATTTCTCATACTGTAAAAGAGTTTTGTATTATCTTCTGAGTTCGGGTGGTTCAGTATCTGCTATCTGGCATGGAGGATCATCCCTATCAGAGCTGACTAAAAGTACACAAGACAGGAGGTAGTGCTTAGTTATGACTTTAGATACCACACAGCACGGACCTTGAGGAAAAGAAGAAGTCAAAAAAGATAGCACTGTTTTGGGCACAGCCTGAGAAAAAGCTGAGCAATCACCAAACAGGATCAAGGAAATCTCCTCTTCTTCTTCTGCATTCATCCTTAAAAGGGTAGTTAGCATGATGTGTTGTAGTTTGCAGCTAGGCTGCGGTATTAGAACCTTTCGGCCCAACACATCCAATATCAGCAAAACCCTTATCAGTCTGCCTTTATGACATGCTTGTTAGGGGCCAGTGGGTCTATTTTCCCACCCTCCAAAATGAGACCCAGGCACCGGCACCCACATGGGGAGGATCAAGAGAATGAGAATGTCCAAAAGAAAACCTGAATAAATAATTGGAGGGGCCTAAGGATTGGATTCCATCTATGGTATCAGAAAAGAACAGAGAATAGATGGTGAGCTTTGTGTCAAATCTAATGGCCCAACATGATGATGATGATGATGAAATTAGTAGATTAACTTACGTCAACAGAAGAGGACTAACAAACTGCAGTAGGTCATAAAGAAACTTGCACAGATGGGCTTCCAGCAATTCTAATCCGTATGTCTTGGCCAACACCTGAAACAAATGAAATCTGGTTTGAAATGTCAATAGTTGGTCTTGAGGATTTACAAGCTCAACAATACGACTTTAGGAAAATGGTAGGAAAAAAAATTATGAACATGGTTTGTGTGTATGTGCGAGTGAGTCGGTGAGTCAGTATGTGAGTGAATGAGTGTGTTTGTATAGCCATAGTGAATAAGTGTATGTTTATGTTTGTGTGTGTGTTTTGGTTGGATATGTGTATATGTGTGTGTATGTAAGAAATAAAGGGGGAAAAAACAGGTGAATGTAGGTAGGTAATTAGTTAGATGTATGTGTGTGTGTTTGAGAGATAAATAGAGAGAAAGAGAGACTAAGACATGTGTGTGTGTGTGCCCGTGTTTAAGATAGTGTAAAAGAAAGAGAGGCATATGTGTAGTTTCTGTGACTGTTTGTTAGTGCACACATGTTATGTCCTATCATTCATCAGCCATTCCTTTCTTTTCACCTGCTATACTTTGATGAAATGACCTCAGTGTTTTCAGAAGCTAGTATGTTTAATAATTTCTTCTGTTCATAGAGAGACAAAGAATTATATTTACTTTGCACTAAGCCCAAATACTTAAACCATGTGGGATTAACAATTATTTCTAAGTCTTAGCCCAGACAAAGCCACTAGTTCGTTCTGGCCTAAGATTATCCAGTATTACCTAAGATTACCTAACATAACAAGCCAGTGGAAGAAGAAGAAGAACAGATTCACCTAAGCCCACACGACTGCTTTACTAAAAAATATTCCTCCCTTCTTTCTGCAATAAGGTTAGAAAAGTAATTATTATTCCAGCATCACAGCCTGTAAAACTCACAATCTTTTGTGATGAGTGTGAATGCCCTCCACGTGTATCTGTGTTAGACGTTTAGCATCTGCCATAGTTTTTGCACTTTATCTTAGACCAGCCTATATGTGGGCTTTCCCAATTAATTATAATACAGTGGGCAACAACATGGGTGAAATTCTAATTCAGTAAGGATTGTTTCCTAGTATAGCAGATTATGCAATATCCAGCCTATTGTGGCAGAAAAGTAGGCTGAATAACAAGAATATCCTGATATGCTGGAGTTCTTTAACACCCTTTATCTCATTTATATTTTCTGACCTCTTAAATACAGAGCCATTACTTCATAAAGGTTTCTTATGTATTGTACATACAAATACAAATTCATCATTCATCATTTTACACATTTATTACAGAAAAATAAAAGAAGTCCAAAAATTAAAAAAATATTGCTTACATTTTAAGATAAAATTTTAACTGAATTTAATAAAATCATGCAATGCAAACTTGCAACAACTTGGCAGAATAAACTATTCTCTTTTTCATTACTTAGAATTTTTGTTTGTTTGTTAAACTAGGCCACATAATACAGTCTGGATAATCACAAGTGGGATAACTGAGGTTATACTGTATGCCAGATGGAATCAAATTTATCTTTTGTGTGGAACTTTCCTCATGCTGCTGCTTCTACTGCTTCTGCGCCTGCTTCTTCTTCATCTTGTTGTTCTTTGTTTGTTGACTGGTGTTTGTTGGTGGGTGTTTGTTGATTGGTGGTTTGTGTTTGGTGGTTGTGGTTTTTCGGTTCTTCTTCTTCTTCTTCTTCTTCTTCTTCTTCTTCTTCTTCTTCTTCTTCTTCTTCTTCTTCTTCTTCTTCTTCTTCTTCTTCTTCTTCTTCTTTATTTTCTTCTTCATCTTCTTCTTCTTCTTGCACTCATTTTAAAAAAAATATTGGGTGTAAAAACAATGTGCTTCTCTTACAATAGAGGTAGACTTTTACAAAATGATTTGTTAGAAAATATCCCATTCACTGTCTCATTTTTTGATAGAGTGGATAGAAACAAACTGTGGTCTGTTCTTGAAAACTACTGGGTACAAGGACAGTTAATTGAGAACATCATAGCCATGTACCACACAAGCCAAAGTGCAACGAAAACACAAGAAGGCATATAAGATATGTTCACAGTCAACACAGGTGTGAAACAGGGATTTTTGCTCTCCCCACTTTTATTTAACATTAATTTAGACAGAATATCTAAAGAAGCAAGTTCTGATGCAGACAACATAGATTTTTATAATCATGAGGAAGTACACACATCAGGAGAAGTTATCGATTCACCCACATTAAACGAATTACTATTTGCTGACGACCAGTGCTTATTCTACCCTGAAGAAGATAAGACTGCAAGACCACATCAACAGGTTAAACTCAGCATGCAGTAAATACAACATTAAGATCAATGTAAACAAAACCAAAACAATGCAAGTTAGTAGACATTCTGACCCACTACACATACAGCTGAATGGTTCTGCTATGAATCAAGTTAGGGAGTTTAAATATCTAGGAAGTATGATCACAGAAGATGGTAGAATTGACAGAGAAATAGAAACCAGATGTCAGAAAGCAAGTGCACTTATGTACCAATTGTCACCATTATTAAGACATCCAAGCATAACTATGAGTGCAACGAGACAGATTATTAACAGTATATTCATTGCAACATTAAGCTACCAGTGCCAAACATTGCAAATATCTGAAGCCTATATATGAAAAATCACCACCTGCGAGATGAGGTGCCTGAGAAAAGCAGCCAACCTAACCATCCGAGATCGAGTTAATAATGAAACTATCAGGCAAATTGTGGGAACGACACCTTGTACTAGATTCATCGAGAAACAGCAGATCAAGTGGTTTGGCCATCTCGTTAGAATGCAGCAAGATCAAATACCATCACAAGCACTACACCTCAGAAGATCAGCTGCAAGAGCATGAGGAATGTCCCCAGAAAATATGGATTGACAACATTAAAGACACTCTATGCCTTTACAGCATGACAATAGCCAGTGGCAGCCAACGTGCACTGGATCACAAATTATTCCTCCCCATGACGCTTAATGGTAAAAATGGTTTCTGATGATGATGATGATGATGATGATGATGATGATGATGACTGTCTCATTTAGGACAACTGATTCAGGGGTGATACAAAAATGTAAAAAAACAATTACACAATCACAAGACCTTCCCTGCTGTAATAGTGTGTGTGTTTTTTTTGGGTGTGTTTTGTTTTTTTTAGCTTTTCTTCGCAATCATTGTTTCACAATTGTTACAATAAATGAAGACAGTGATTTGTGATCAACACAGATGAGGACAAGCTAAATAACAGTTATGTTGTTGAGAGTTTTGAAAGTGACGAGAAGTTTTCCAGATTCTATCATGAATAAAACGAGTTCAAAAATTTTGTGTAATCATGTTTTTTATTTTTTTTTCAAATTTCCAGTCTAAAAATAGAGGTGCATCCTATACAATGGATTGTCTATTACTTGGGGGCAATATGGTAACTGGCTAATATGCAGGCTGGACGAGGAGCTAGGAGTCTAGTAAAGCAAATTATATACAGAGTAACTAGTAAATGCGATGTAAGTTGCTTGGTACTCAATGAGTTAATGTAAAATATTCTTTTCCTTAACTAAAATTAGTCAAAAAGGGCAAAAAAAATCCAAACCTTGGATAATGAGGCAGGCAGTTCATCTTCCTTGTTTTCCTTTTCATCAGAGTCACTGGGGAGTTTGTTGCCTTTCATCAACAGAGAAGTATTTTCTGACACATTAACACTTGCCAGCTCTTGTTTGAGTTTGCTCTCACGACGAAAGGATGCATACCCATTTACAGCTCGTAACGTCTTGTCTCTCATTCTAAAATTATGGGATAAATATTATTAATCATTATTATTATGATTATTCTGTCATCTCCACGATGGAGTTAGGTTATAGTGGATATGTGCGAGCAATGCTGTTTTTAGAAATATTACATGATTTTTAGTTATGAGTTTAGAACTGACAATACAGCACTTGGGACATTCCCACAAGAATTATGTCCCTATAGTCAGTCAGTCAGTCAGTCAGTCAGTCAGTTAGTTAGTTAGTCAAGGTTTCAACATCATCGCAATCGGGTTTCCCCATACTTGCTCCGTTCCTTTGCCAGTGCAAATCAAATGAAATGCCCCTCACTATTGCATTTGAAAAACTGGTTAATAAACAACTAGTTCCGGAAAAATCCAGAAATATATGCACACAGTAAATGTGTATTTCAGTTGCTCAAGGTGGCAAAGAAAATGATCACTACTAGAAATGTAGTTTGTTGTTGATGGAAGTAGCTGGGCACGATATACACGTAGAGACATACACGTAGAATTCTTACATAAGGTATTTCACCAGCTCACACGTAAACCGGCCCCCTGCCTTATTAAACAAAACGACATAAGAGCTGCGCAAATGAAAGGCATTCCATAAGAAAAACAAAGCTCACAGGGCTGCAACTAAGCACTAAACTCAGTAGCACATGCAGTGAAACTGTAGATTACCATCCTTATGTGGAAACTTGTATTTGCTGTCGGAAGCAGAAATAACTTCGAAGCTTAACAAGCATTTCCTCCATTTTGGCCAGAAGTCCCTCTTCTCCGTCCCTATCTTCAACAGCAAGCACAGAGTTCCAATGAGTTTAGAGCTGACAACATAGCACTTGAGACATACCCATAAGCACTCCGTCCCTATCTTCAACAGCAAGCACAGAGTTCCAATAAGTTAAGAGCTGACAACATAGCACTTGAGACATTCCCATAAGCACTCCGTTCCTATCTTCAACAGCAAGCACAGAGTTCCAATGAGTTAAGAGCTGACAACATAGCACTTGAGACATTCCCATAAACACTCCGTCCCTATCTTCAACAGCAAGCACAGAGTTCCAATGAGTTAAGAGCTGACAACATAGCACTTGAGACATTCCCATAAACACTCCGTCCCTATCTTTAACAGCAAGCACAGAGTTCCAATGAGTTAAGAGCTGACAACATAGCACTTGAGACATTCCCATAAACACTCCATTCCTATCTTCAACAGCAAGCACAGAGTTCCAATGAGTTAAGAGCTGACAACATAGCACTTGAGACATTCCCATAAGCACTCCATCCCTATCTTCAACAGCAAGCACTGAGTTCCAATTCCAATGATACCAGTGACAATCTGACTGTGTATCCATCTCACTCTTACCCTGGGTATTGAGCATCGGCCAGGTCCCCTGGTAATTTCTCTATTACACAGTGAGATCTGAATTTCTTTCATGGTGCGACTTTTGCAGCACTGTCAAAAGGTCATTAGAAGAGTCTTTAAATCTGTGATGTTATCTTTTAAAAATTATCATTATGAATATTTATCACTGACTCTTCTCTGGGGAAGATGGGGGAGGGGGGGGGGGGTGTCATTGTGGTGCAGTCTTCAAGGATGCTAACCTACTAAAACTGGTTCAGTCTCTAGCAATGACTAGATATTTGTAAACTAGGATTTACCCAGCTTCAAAGAATGACTATAATAGAGTCCTCATGTGGGATCAGGGCAAAGCTGTTTAGGGAACAGTGGGGCTATTGTTTTTACCCCACACTGGGGCCCTGATCCTACGTAGGGAATAATGCCAGTAAACTGCCAACAGAAGTCATTTCAAAATCATCAGTAATGATCACATTCTAAAAAATTATTGAAATATATACTTCTTTTTGGCTCTTGCTCTTGTCAGTTCTGCCTCCCACATTTGCTCAAACTGTGGTATCACTCTCTCTCCTTTGTCTCTTGGGTGAAGGTCGAACAGATCATCCTCTGTCAGCCCTTTGCGGTAGCCTTGATACACAATCCTAGAGCAGACACACAGACAGGAAGAAACTGTCAAAAACATGTTGCTGTTCTTCTCAGCTTACAGTATTCTTCTCAACTTACAGTTTTCTTCTGAACTTACAGTTTTCTTCTCAACTTACAGTTTTCTTCTCAACTTACAGTATTCTTCTCAACTTACAGTATTCTTTTCAACTTACAGTTTTCTTCTCAACTTACAGTATTCTTTTCAACTTACAGTATTCTTCTCAACTTACAGTTTTCTTCTCAACTTACAGTTTTCTTCTCAACTTACAGTTTTCTTCTCAACTTACAGTTTTCTTCTCAACTTACAGTATTCTTCTCAACTTACAGTATTCTTCTCAACTTACAGTATTCTTTTCAACTTAGAGTTTTCTTCTCAACTTACAGTATTCTTCTCAACTTACAGTATTCTTCTCAACTTACAGTATTCTTTTCAACTTACAGTATTCTTCTCAACTTACAGTATTCTTCTCAACTTACAGTATTCTTCTCAACTTACAGTATTCTTTTCAACTTACAGTATTCTTCTCAACTTACAGTATTCTTCTCAACTTACAGTATTCTTCTCAACTTACAGTATTCTTCTCAACTTACAGTTTTCTTCTCAACTTACAGTATTCTTCTCAACTTACAGTATTCTTCTCAACTTACAGTATTCTTCTCAACTTACAGTATTCTTCTCAACTTACAAAAGTCTTCTTAACTCACTAGCAAACATGGTGTCAAGACTATAACCAGACAGTACATCACAGAGAACCCTGTCACTTAGGTATTATGGAAGCAAAGCCAGAGAATGACCACCCAAGCAATGGATAGATGGACCAGAAAATACGTAGCACATACAAAGGTCCTCACTCGATGCCTATCCAAAACTCGATGATCAATGTCAACACAGGACTAAAGAAGAAGAAGAAGATGATTGTAAACCAAATAGCTCTAATTGCAATTCTGGTTTGGGAATGTTTGTGCTGGCACATCTGATGGCTACCTTATGCACTTACTTTGACTGTGTAAGCTTCAAGATTTTGCTGGGACTGACAGGTTTTTATTCCATGACTATGTGTTAGCTTGTTGATATATCCAAGTGCTGGCACAGGACAAGATGTTTACTATGCCTTGCACACTTGCCTCAAATGTTTTCACATCTTTTTACCAGTTCCTGGTTGCATCCATAAGCTCATCTTATCTTTAGTTTAGCATTATCAAGCCAACATGCATGGGCAATCATACCTCTCCCCAACCTGCTATCTTCAACAGCATGTAACAGTTAATGTCCTGACATCCCCTCCATGCGACTGTATTCAATATATTCAGAGCTAACATAAATATCTAGATGTCATTCCACCATGTGCTGTCTGGTGGACGTACCTAGTAATGGGACACTACTACTACCCTAAGTTTAGTTTACAGAATGGGGATATCTGAGCCTGCTATATCCTCTGTTATCCATGGATCCTTTTGCACAGAAGGGGAGGGGGAGGCAAAATTATGAGGGGAGTAGGCACATAGTAGAAAAGAATAGCAGATATGTTAAATGTTAAGTGTCTGAAAGAAATGTATAAAACACAAGCGATGACCCAATGGTCCTGAAATTTCATAAACCTGTTGTAGATGATTGTTGTTAATGTAAGCTGCTCTTGCCAGTTTGCCTCTCATAAACTTGTTGTAAATGATTCTCGTTAATGTAAGCTGCTTTTGCCAGTTTACCTCTCATAAACTTGTTGTGGATGATTCTCGTTAATGTAAGTTGCTTGGGCTGGTCGTCTACTTCTCCATTCCACCCTAAACTGTGCATTCCTTTCAATATCATGGCTGGAATCCAGTCCAGCATAGAAATAGCTACCAGATCATCATCAGGTACCATGTCCTTTGAAAATTTTCACTCTCATCCCAGGCTGCCTGAAACAAACTTGCTTTCTTACCAACCTCCCACTTTGGCTCATTTCCTACCTAAGGTGTCATTTTTATCTTGTGACCATCTTTTTGCTGGTCAGCCCTTGCCCCTCTTTCCTGGCATGATGCTAGATAAGTTGCAGAATTGTGCCCCTCTTTCCTGGCATGATGCTAGTTGAGTTGCAGAATTTTGCCCCTCTTTCCTGGCATTATGCTAAATAAGTTGCAGAATTCAGCCTCTCTTTCTTGGCATGATACTAGATAAGTTGCAGAATTTTGCCCCTCTTTCCTGGCATGATGCTAGTTGTGTTGCAGAATTGTGCCCCTCTTTCCTGGCATGATGCTAAATAAGTTGCAATGGTAAACTTTGCCTAGAAAAACCACAACAGCCAAAAAATGCTGGGGCTGTTCTGCAACGTCCTGTAAAGGATACGCAATAACTAACTGATCATCTACTAATAAGCATAGAAGAGGATACTTTACTTACTTACTTCAGTATAAGACATTTTGCTACAGTCTATCCTAATTACTAGTTTAGTTCTTTCTGTTCCATACTGTTATTACTTTAACTACCTGAAACTCAAACAGTATAGACTGACAGGTCTCTATGATGTATAAATGGCATAACAGGAGGATTCTGATGATGATGATAATAAAAAACTCAATAGTGTCAACTTTAAAGTACACATTCTCTGAACAGAAAGAATTAATTATGGCTGATACTGATAAACAAATGGAAAAAAACAATAAAAACTATGAACTTATGAAATATCATTGTCCGATTCTGATAATGCAGAACAGTACAGATCTATTTCCCTACAAGTAAGTCAAAACGCTAACAAAGGAGAGTAAATACCAGTTCATCCATGAGTAAAACACATCACCTTCTGAAAAAGGTCAATGCATTCACATTCATCTAGTAATAAATCAACACACTAATAAAGATTAGTAAATACCTTTTCATCCAAGAGTAAATCAAAACATTTTCTAACATAGGATAACATATCCCATTCATTCACCAATAAATTAAAAAAAAATTATATATATATATATATATATATATATATATATATATATATATATATATATATATATATATATATATATATATATATATATATATATATATATATATATATATATAAGTACATACCTTTTTATCCATTAGTAAACCACATTTTATAATACAGCACAGTACATACCCATTCATCCACACAAAAAATAAAAATTAAAACACTTACAAATGACAGAACAAATCTTCTCATCCATGCGTAAAACACAATATTTTCCAGCGCAGGACTGTACATACTCATTCATCCACCAATAAATAAAAATACTATCATATGACAGTACATATCTTTTCATCCAAAAGTTAATCACATATTCTAACACTGGATGGTACATACCCATTCATCCACCAATAAACCAGTCTGTTGGGGACAGATGCTGACACTTCTGGTGATGGTTTCTGAAGATCACAAGATGACATACAAAAGAAAATTGGTTAACAATGATAATAATCAACCTTTTCCTCTGCTTCTTACCAATAGTCATCCTCATCATCATGTTCCTTATTCTTTTGTCTCCTTTTCCTCCTCTGTTTCCCTTCTATTTCTCTTTGTCCTACTTCTCCTCCTCTTCCTTCCCTTCTTCTTCTTCTCCTTCTGCAACTACTCAAGCTGCTTTTAATCCCCCAATTGAGCCAAGGCCCTCATCTAACTATATCAAACCCTCTGTAGACTAATTCATGATTGATTGGGTTGTGTAGCTTAAGTTTTTAATGAGGTGAGCTAGCAAGTCGCATGCTAATTTTTCTTATTTGCCACTTACAACATACTGAAAATGTTACCATCAGTAATTTATAAAAATAAGAAGTAAGTAAAAAATAAAGGACCCTTTTCCACACCTTTAGGCATATAGGGCATATAGGGCTAGACCTATTTTTTTATAGACCAATCGGCACAAGATGGGTGATGTGGTCAGCATCACGTCGGCTGCCTTTACTTCATGGGACAGCAAGGCTGGGTCGACCTGGGAGCCAAAGTCCTTTTTGAAAAAAGTCCAGCTCATTATAAAAAAAATTTTAAAAATAAACTAACAAAAGAACTTCATACTGTATTTATTCAAATATAGTCATTTGTTCTTGTTTTGGAACATTGTCACTGTCCAAATCTCAAATTCCAGCCATTTTTAATAGAACCATCGAACCCTGTCTTTCAGGTCCAGCAAAAGAGCTTTTCTCAATAGGCATTTCTTGTCCATGTAGCCTGCTGGTAGTGAACTGGTAATACAGCTGTCAGTGATTTTATCTTATGAATTCTTCATTCGTCATGACTTCCTTCACAAGATTTCAATGCTGATTTCTTTTCATTCTACTTTCAATCTAGTTTTAATGTGACACAATCTTAACAAGGGCTTATTTTTGGGGTAACGCTTAAGTTGAAAGAATCTTGAAAATTCATGGGACAACTTTTTTATGAGTAGGTCTTTGGGGATGGGGGGGGGGTGGGGGGGGGGGGGGGGGGACATCATATCATTAAGATTCAAATATTTTTATATGAAGAATATAAAATGTAGATAGCATTTAAATGTAAAGCAAATACATTAGATATTTAAAACCAACAATACATAATACATTTAAACATGAACAAATACAGCATTATAGAAATATGTGCAATTTTTATTATACTATGTTTTATGAAAATGTGACATTTTGTCCTTTTATAAACTCATATAATGCCTCAAAATTGGGCCTTTATTATTTCAGTTTGTTTTCTTTCTTTTTCATTCTTAAACATGTCATAATGTTTGGAAAACAATGAATTAGTTGCAACTACGGCATCTTAATTTAAATTCTGAATTAAATATATCTCTCTCTCTCTCTCTCTCTCTCTCTCTCTCTCTCTCTCTTTTTCTCTGTTATTTTCTTTCTTTCTTTCACTCAACAACATTTATTTACAAACACACACAAATCTTATCAAATCAAGATTAAAAAAAATTAAAAACGATAGAAATAATGTGTTCATAATCAATGACATACTTCTCCCAAATAACTATATCCATTTCGCTGCACACTTTCGGCAAAACTTGACAGAACTAACTGTATGATCAAACATGCATAATAGATGTAGAACACCACAAACGGAAACAAATGATCCTCATAATCCTGAAAGAAAAAACAGAAAAATGACACATTATTTATTGTTTGAACAAAACACACACTAGAAAATGGCATTATTAGAACTTCTTTTGTTTAAATTGGTAGTTTTTTTTTGTTGTTTTGTTTTAAATTAACATCAAATGTTGGGTGGCATTTGACGTCAAACACTTACAATCTGCTTTAAGCAGGAGAGTGCATTGGAAGGATACAAGCCTCATCCTTTGAGAGGAATGCAACCTGAAAACTTAATGTTACCAGGGTAGATAAAATTGAAGCTCTGATAAGCAGACAGACAGAGCACTGCTCTACTGATTCTGCAGCTTCTGCCGCATGCTTTTTTTTCAGAATATATTGGTTTTACCTTTCCGGTGTTTTGAAGAAAAAAAAATCGGTTGAGGAGGATCGTGCTGTATGGGCAAACCATGGTCACTATAATAGTGGCCAGGCTTTGTGATATGTAGAGGAAGAACTTCATAGCTAGCCATAATTGGTTTCGGTTTTATCACCATGGGAGGTAATTCTCATGCCTCTCTACAACTCAATGAAATACTATCATCTGCAAAGACAGAAAGGTGTCAACAACAACAGTTCAAATGCTTTGGCTCCGCTTTCTTAATTTAAACACAGACTTATTTGGAGGTTAATGACATTCATGTTCATATTTTTGTGGAATGATACTGATGCTATATTTCTTTGTGCTCATTATTATGAGCTGATCTGGACAGTAATAAAAACCTGTCTATACAGCAGTCTACTGCTGCTACGTCTGCTCCTGGTTATGTTTCCATTTATTCTCTTTCTTCACTTTCTGTTGCTGCTTCCACTTCCATTTTTACTACTGCTTATGCAGCTGCTAATTCTTTACTTCTGCTTCCAAATTTGCAGTTGCTTTTCTTCCTCCTCTTCCTCCTACTCCTCCTCCGCCTTCTTCCTTTATTCATTCAGGAACCTAGTCTGGTTCAGAAACTGGCAATTATGTCTCTTCATTTTACTCTTGTCATATGATGTTTCCATGAAATTGATGATGCTTATATTATTATTTATTGCTCATCAATTCAAGTTTGCATCTACATTTCTCAATATCTGTTGATGCTTCTTAAAAAAAAAAAAAATTTGCACCCAAATTTAAGCATACTTTTTATTAAATTTAGACTTTTTAACATTTTCTTGCATTAAACATTTTTTGTCTGTTTTGAAAAATGAGTAAACAAAACCGCATTTATAACTAATAATTATTTATAAAATAATAAATGTAATATATTATAGAGAGTCTTCACCATGCCTTCTATAACATAAAATAGCTCACCACCCAGAGGAGTGACAGCAGATAATCTATCTGGCTGCTCATTAAAAACTGATTAAATGAAACTGCATTTATAATCAACATTTATAAAATACAAGAAAAGTATATTTTAATAAACAAATTAGCATTTAATAACAGAAACCTGGCCGAAGTTTAAAATGCAGTCAGTAGAAAGTAGAGTGCAAAGAAACATATAACATAAGATTTGTACTCTAAATGTCTGCATTTTGTTATGTCTATTTCTAAAATTGTTATGGCAATGTTCTAAAGCCTTTTGGTGCTATATCATACAAAGCATATACCAAAAGAGGAGAGGGATGTAGAGCAAGAGCTAGACCAAGAAAAATATGGAAAGATAACATCAGAGAAACTCTACATCACCATGATGTGTCTATGCTGAAGCGACCATAAGAGCATGATGCAGGACCTTATTTCTCCCTCAACACCTGAAGCAGTAAATGAGGACGTAAAGAAGAAGAAGAAGAAGAATGTAATAAAGCTTTAGGAAAAACAGTGGAGAAATTTGATCACCGAGTCTATATGTGCTATATTAGTAACTAAAAATTTGATTGAGTGCTCTTTCTACACTGTGGAGTATGGTCAGCAACAATTTTATTTCATGAACTGTAGGTACCGAATAAATTTCCAGAATTTTCTAGGTATTGATGGAGGAGAGACTGGCAAACTAACCTCATATGTCATTGCCTAAAGTATCTGCCAAACTTGCCAATCACTGCCTTTATTATACCACTTTTACGGTGTAGGCAGGTGGGGGTCTTTCAGCTTGAGGATTTACAACCTCATGGCTATGCTGTCGCTATGACTGTGCAGGTGAGGATTCTATTTTTGCCCCCGCCAGAATAAATCTCCAGCCTTACAGAGGATTTGAACCCGAGTCTCCAATTTGAAAGCACAGTTTTCTAACCATTCGGCCAGCCACTCCTCTCCTAAAGTATCACCATTGTTATTTGATGTGGGTGATCATGCCCCTTCACAACTTGTCATTAACAACATGTATCACCATTTTTATTTGATGTGGGCGATCATGCCCCTTCACAACTTGTGATCAACAGCATGTATAAGTTCTTGTGCTGACATGCCTTTATTCTAGACAAAATAATGGCTGAGCAAATATTACAAGCAGATCATTTTGAACGATGCTGGGTATATCAGAGACTGCCTACAAACAACAATGTTAGATGTATCATCACTTAAGACAGTGTCAAATATGAACTACAACGGTCAAAAGATGAAAAATGTAATACTATAGTCTTGTAAAAAGATCTTCTGGCCTCTCCAAAACAATACTACAGGGCTCTGTAGAGAGAAAGAAGAGTAGAGGCAGACAAAACAAAAACTAGGTACAGAACTAGGCTGAATGGACAGGGCTTAAGCATTCAAATATCGTCCATTGCATCTGACTGAAGAAATGGATGGAGCTGATCAGGTAAACAGCAAATCAGTAACGGTGACCCAATAAAAAGTTATGTTACAGAACTATGATAATGATGAGGACAATTGCAATGACGATGTTTACATATGACAACTTACTTTGAGGATTATTTTTGTGTAGAATGGTATGATATTACCAATAACAGACAGTAACCAGAAGAACCACATCACCCCTGAGCTGATCACACCCTCCATTCTTTCAATCTGTATCAGGATGGCTGTTAAAAACTGAGGATTCAAAAGACGAAGAACTAAAACAAATTGTATTATTGGCAAAATAAACACACATCCACACACACACACACCACAAACACACACACACACACCACAAGCGCACGTGCTCACATGCGTCCACCCACCTGCTCAACGAGGCTGACCTCAACTACAATTTAAAGATGTGCAAAAGCGCGACATAAATGATACAGGTACTGAAGTGGATTCAATGGGAACAAAATGCCATGGATCGTGTTGCAGAAAGGATGAGTGCTCAGTGTCTGAGAAGAAACAGACTAAACACAAATTATGGCAACAACAGTTCTGAAATCCAATGCTATAATTGTGGAAGACTTTTCTTAATGCGGGCAGGTCTTGCTAGTCACACTCACCATCACCATGGGCTGTGAGTTCCATGCCTCCTTATAGCATAATATAACAGTATCATCTGCAAAGAAGCTTAGCAGTCTGAAAATCAGATTTAGTTTAAGGATTGTGTCATTCACTTCATGTGTGGAAGTTTTACAGAGCTATGGGTTTCATGTTTTGGGAGACACACTCTTAGCTACTGGGTGGAAAGAGACTCAGCCATATGGGATAAAACTAAAAAACCTGACAAAATGAAGTCCAAGAAATGTTTCCCTGTTGTTAAAAGACACAAAACTAAAGATTGCACAATTTATTGCCTGCCATATTTTGCTGTATCTCGTCAGGTGCATACTAGGGTAACTGTAACATAATTTGTGGAATTTATACTTAAGTTATAAAGGATTCACTTATTTGCTTTTATGTAATTGTTACTGTAGTATGCACCTGACAAGATACAGCAAAATGTGTCCGGAAATAAACTGTGAAATCTATTGCTTGTGTCTTCTTTATTAAAATGAGGTCGATCATCTTGACTTTAATATAAACCTTTTCTATGTATACAATTATTGTGTTTACAAGTATGTTGTTGTTTCATTCCTTATTCAAATTTAGTCTAATTCCATTTGCTTTGTTTTTATTTCAAATGTTTCCACAATTTTGAATGTTGTCCTTTTGTTTTGTTTTTATTACTCAGATAAATCAAAAATAATAGTCAGATTGTAAGAAAAGTCTGCAGTACAACTCTGTGTTCAATCTTCTTTATTAAAAAAAATGGATACTTTTTATTTTCCAGAATTTTCTTTTGTATTGGAAAGAAATGGGATGCAGAAAGAATGAGAGCTGAGTGCCTACCCCCTTTCCCTCCCCCCCCCTTTCCAATGGGGTCCTAAAAACCACACAGGGAGAACTGAATTGAAATTAAGAAATAACATCACAGCACTCCTATAAATGATCAGCACCCATTTTCAGCAGTCAGCCTCAAATTCCAATACTGTTGGTGCCATTTGCAACCTGATTTAATGTTTGTTTTGCCTTTCCTCTAAAAAGTATCTGCCATATTCCCCTCTGTCCTTTGCATCTTTCTCCCTAGAGCCTGTTATCTGTTTGTGATTCATGCCCCTCTGCATGTAGCATATTTGTTTTCACCTCCCTCCGCATGCTATGTAAGGATAATATAATAATATGCACGTGTAGCTGATTCTTCAGCCAGTGGAAAGTGTCAGTGACTGTCAATGAGAATAGATGTCCGGAAAGGCTAACCAAGGCAAAAAATGCCTGCAGAAGCTGGATGTGTCAGCCAAAAGATGCATATATTCCAGCCATGCTATAAATTGGCCAGGCACATGCAAGGCAAATGTAAATTTTCAGTTGAACACAGAAGAAGAAAATGAAAAGATGTTATGATGAACATACATCATCGATTTACAGGTTTCAAAAACCATAATTTCCCTGACAATTATTAATGGTTGCTCTCATCATCTTTTTCACATCACAATAGGATAAAGCAGTAGGATAAGAGAGGGATCAAGTAGAGACCTCTATGTTTTTAGCAATTTGTCAACTCATAAGAACTGTAATTTTCAGAAACAAAATAATTATTAGAAGACATCATGACAACAGCTAACATACCACTATGCTTCTTTATATACTTAATTATCTCATAAGAACTGTGTACGATAATGATGAGTCTTGGATTCTAGAACAGTTACATGACCTCAGAATGAAGCCTGGTGAAGCATATCAGTGCCATCTTCAAGTCAAGATAGGAGTCACTGTAACCAACTGTATGGGAACAGTCAGCAGAGGTACCTTGGAGTGGTTGCTGCATCAGAAGACTGAGAACTCATGGGAATACTCAATGTGCAGTGATGCTGACTGTGATAACATAAAAAATATGTACAAATCTGAAAACATAAATACAAAAAGGTATCAAACCAATGACTTACATAAGTGGCTGCTTTCAATGCTCCTGACACATAAACAACATCAGGAATCTTATCTGACTTGCTTCTAGAATCTGCTTCCGACTTGATGACATCAATTACAGACAGCAAACACAAAATGAGACTGAAAAACTAAAAAAAAAAAAAAAATGTACAGAAAAATGTGTATGAGCAAATCACAGTTTGTTTCTCTTGAAAACATAACTTCTGATTCGTAGGATTTTTCACTGTCATTAAAAGATCATATGCACTACATATCAGGCATATCCATAGGGCTAAGATCATCTCCGGAGCACTGCATATCGGGCATACTCAAAAGGCTAAGATCATCTCCTGAGCACTGCATATCAGGCATACCCATAAGGCTAAGATCATCTCCCGAGCACTGCATATCAGGCATACCCATAAAGCTAAGAGCATCTCCCGAGCACTGCATATCAGGCGTACCAATAAGGCTAAGATCATCTCCCAAGCAAGATTTTATTTTTTGTCATTTTATTCTGATGACTTTCACTTTGTACAGGCTGATGTTGCAACTATGGGACTCTAGCAAGCTTTCACATTGCAATGTTCCAATGGATATCTTCAGACTGTGCATCGGAGTCAGGGAGATGCCTGTAATATCTTTGGTGTGTATAGTGTCTTGAATACCATTCATTCTATCTTTCTTGGCCACTGAAGGTGCATCCACTATGATAGCACTGCCAACAATAACATGCACATTTTTGTTGTTGTCATTGCTATTCTCCTATAAAAGTTCATGCCTTTAAGGGCAAACAGAGAAGACGAAGGAGAAAAAAGAAAATAACAGATGAAAAAAAAAATGAATAACTACAACAAAAATATATGATTTATTGCAATTAACTTAAAATAATAGAAATTATTCTAAAGATAGAGAGCTCAAGAGATCTTGATGGAAAGAATTAAAGAAATATTTCATGTTTGTTTTAGTATCCAGAAGCCATGAGTTGTTAACCCTTAGGCTCGGTATTATGGATATCGCAACCTTTCGGCCTTGATTCCATTGTAAATACCGTAAATCTGGGAGAAAATGTGGCTTTCCTGCCTACCCCCGGGATTGAACCCGGACCACAAGGAGTACGTCACCCGGTCTCCGCGAAATCCGGTTTAGCCAATTCCGCTAGAGAGCTGGGCTAAACATTTCATAAAAATAACAATGTCTACATAGCAATTTAATTTTGCAAAGCAAAATGAAAATTCAAAGTACTTAGGTACATAGGTAGATAGAAAGGTATGTAGGCAGGCAGGCAGGCAGGCAGGCAGGCAAGCAGGCAGGCAGGCAGGCAGGCAGGCAGACAGACAGACAGACAGACAGACAGACAGACAGACAGACAGACAGACAGACAGACAGACAGACAGACAGACAGACAGACAGACAGACAGACAGACAGACAGACAGACAGACAGACAGACAGACAGACAGACAGACAGACAGCATAATGTGAATACTAAAATTATCTGAAAGTCACTTACCTAATCTATAATCTTATAATTCACAACTTAAAATCTAGAATCTATTTTTTAGTGTTACATAAAGAAACTAATTCCTCTATAACTTTATAGCAGAAAACACAAACATTGCCTGCTGGATACAAGTTCAAATCTGTTAAAGGAGGATTTAGATGAAGCTAAGGCTCCCTGTTAGTCTTAGTCTGAAATGAGATCCAATGTCTTGGGAAGTAAAGGCAGCCAGCACTTTTTTTTAACCACAGCTCCCATCAAATGTCGACTAATCTATAAACAACAGTTGTTGGCACCATATGCCCATCACAACAGTGGTATGAATGAAGTCCTTAACTGCTCAGTTTTATATGAATGTATTATTTTAAGGAAAAACAAAAATGCATACCGTTTTGGCTAAGCTGAGTTTGTTGAGTGGAATGACCAAACCACTGGCATAATGGAAAAGATATATAAGATAAGGAGGCAGCACAATCCACACCAAGCCACATGGCACCCACACCAGGAGGCTGTTTTGGAAACACGGTGTAAACTCAGGCCAAGAGTTATTAAGCAGTACATCTGAATCCTGAAGAAATGAAGAGTGTAAATATAAAGGCATTTAAAAGAAAAATCTTAGACAACTAGTAATTCCTTCTTCTTCCTAACTAAGCGAGATAGGCACGTTCGACTTTGTGAGTTGTACCCATAGCCCTATAAAAGTGGCAAAACAGTGACAGTTGCCCCATTCAGTTTCCCGCTGGGAGTTGAAACCCCAATCTTTCACTGGATTACTGGGGAGAACAGGGTTCACCATGTGAAGGTGAAGTATGCTTGAGCAAGAGAGGCTATGAGACATTAAAACTCTTGTATTTGGGCATCACTGGTAAGGAGACCGTGATTAGCCCTTCATTCATGCGTCTAAAGTTTTGAGGCGCGTTAGTCTAAGCTAAAGGGGCGTCAGGTAGTACTGTGTCGACGTTCTCACTGGCGAACACACGTGCTCTATATCGCAGGATGTAACAGGTGTTAACGACCCCAGAATATCTAGAACTGGCCCTAACCGCTCACCCCCCCCCCCCCCAACTCACACAGGTTCAGCCTACGTCCCACGAGAGAATGCACCCTACGTTCCCGTGGTTTCAGAAGTTTTAACATTTTGCGGTGGGTCCCAGACAGACTGAATATACCCAGTCGCTCATTACAGTGAGAAAAATACAATGCGTAGCTGTCCGTCCACCAACATATATATAGCAGCAGACAACATGACACCCTTTAAGCTTAGACTAACGTGTCTCAACGGTTAAGACATATGAAAGAACGGCTAATCACGGTCTCCCCGGGCCTTACTTCGCGAGCTGTTCCGAGCGGTGTAGACAGGGGTCGTGAGTCTGTCTAGTGCTGTCGCCACGGACTATGCAGATTCGGTTAATTTACAGGACGTTACAGAATCAACCCCAACAGCCCCTGTCTGCTGTATAGTTTTTCTAAGCAAATTTACGTCCAGTAGTTTGCCATTCCCTCTGGGCGGTCGGCTTTCCTGATACCACTGTCGAGATCAACGCAAGGCGCATGGCCCGCAGCTGGGATCGAACCCGGCATCCCGGCATTACGAAGTGTTCGTATCGACTTAGACACAGAGCCGACCTATGTAGATAAGAATGTTTAATTTTGTCCCGATAGAAAAACGCCATCACTTTACCAGTGGTCAAACCCGGGTCTCACGCATGACACCCTGAGTTGTTACCACTTGGAGACACCGAATGAGGCAAATATGAAATCCGGTTCCGTTGGCCAGCTAGAGTGTCCTGTGCGTGGCGCGGCATATGAACTGTGAATGTCGCGGCGAAATGCTTTTTGTCTGTGTCCCCTGAGACGCGTTTGTTAACTGCTTGTTCAGAAAATGGCGAGTGGCGGATTGCCACAAAACTCGCCTGTGTACCTTATGCAGGAATAAGAGGGCACCTGCTGGTTTACCTTGACTGCTGCTTCCCTCGACTATAAATAGCAATTGTATTGACAGACGTATATGTTGATATCGCTGGTTGTTGCCTTATGCATTTTATGCGTGTACGAGCTGTCGAATGGTAACAGGACTGCTGTCTATTTTCCTTTCCACGTGGGGCAGCGATTGGCACTTTGTGTGGCTTTCAATGGCACAGGAACGGAACAAATATGATGTTACCCGTTGGCGAAGAAGCTGGAACTTCTACAGCTAGATAGCACGATAATGCCACAGAGATTTAAGCATCCGTCTTATGTCAAGTTACTTGGTATAGAAAGAGTTGGGCTGAGAACAAAACTAATGAATATGTCAGACACAATATATAAATTTGCAGGACACCGGGAGCCTCTATTGGCAGCGGTGAAACGTCGCAAGCTGGCTTGGTTTGGGCACGTGGTGAGACATGATTCAATTTCAAAGATAGTGCTTCAAGGAACATTGGGAGATGGGGGTAAAGGTGTGAGGGGGGCAGTCGAAGAAGAGGATGGCAAAAAAGAATCTGGAATGACAACATCAAGAAATGGACAGGACAAAATTATCATACACTTTTTTCATCAAGCGGAAGACAGAGACAGATGTGCTAGTGCTTCCATTATTACACCTTCACGATCCTAACGGGTCAGGGGTTATGTTGTGCAGAAAGAGTTGACAGAAAGAACATTCGTGTACCCAGGAGTTCAGACAGATAAAGACAGATAATAGGCGTAGCAGTAAGGCTGGCACACACGGCTGAATCAACAGCAGGATTGAGACAGAGAGCAGAGTCGCCTGTGTGGGAGTGGAAAAGTTGTTTCCTGGGATCGGCAAAAGGTGAATTTGCCTCGTGTTCATGAATATGCTTAAAAGTAAATTCGCGAAATCGGCCTAATTACTTAACTTCATTCTTATACTTGTGAGAAATCTTTCGATTTCAGAGATCATCCCGTTCAACTCCTCTTTCAATACTTGGCAACTCACCATGGGTTTCCTCGTTTATACATAGATAATATAATGCGTCGACTGTCTTCGGGTCACAGACAGACCCTTTGTATATAATTACTTAGCTTAACTCTTTTTGTCCCAAACAATGCACTCTGCGTGACTGGGTATTATTCACGTGTACCAGTCGACATTTTATTGTTTTATCCCGGCTCGCTAGCGTAGTTGGCTAAACCTGACTTCGCAAAGACCGGGTGACGAACTCCTTGTGGTTCGGGTTCACGACTGGGGGTAGGCAGAAAAGCCACATTTCTTCCAGATTTACGGTATCTATCTTATCTATCATGGAATCAAGCCTGAAGTGTTGCAATATCCATAATACCGAGCCAAAGGGTTAAGAATTCATGGTTTCTGGAGGGAAAAAAAATACGTTTTACATCTTACGTTTAGTAAGCGAATGTGAAGAACTTTTATTCATTCGTTTCCTGCACGAATTATATTATTGAAAACCCCCCCCCCCTACCCCCCCCCCCCCCTCACCCCTCGGAACAAGAATATTCATGTTTAGTACCACAATTCTGTAAAACCCCCACACATTAGCTAGGACCCTGTAGGGTTGACAGAGTCAGCTACTTCACTTCCATAGTGTCTTCTTTGAACACATCCAGACCTACATATATTTTTATAGCTTTAAAGTTCAACTCTTTGAGACAGAAGGAGTTAGTTTTTTTTTTTTTTTAACCGCTTAGAAATGAAAAGGTACTTGTTCCTTCAAAACCTTTCTAGCCCTAATGTGTGCACTTTAGAGTAAGGGATTTTAAAATAAGATAAGAGTTTAAATACTTCGAGCATGAGACATAATTAGTTGAATCCACAATTCCAATAAAATGGGTAGAAGCAGGGATTTTGGTGGTGTCTTGCGGGAGACAGTGGGGAACTGTTTTATAGGTATCAATTTGTTTTCAGTGCTACTGGAGTAGAAATCTTGCAGTGAGCAATGGCGTCTTTTTAAGACACCTTTGATGAGTGCTGACACATTTTCAAAACACTGTGGTGAGCGATGGCGCATTTCTTTTTGATACTTTTTAGTGTGTACTGGTGCCTTTTAAGTCACTTTGAGGTGAGCACTGGCGCCTTTTTAAGATATTTTGTGGCGAGTACTGACGTCTTTTAAAGACATTTTTTGGTGAGTATTTGCGTCTTTTAAATACATTTTGTGTGGAATACTGGCGCCTTTTAAAGACACTTTGGGGCGAGAACCGACATCTCTTTCAGACATTTTGTGGTGGGTACTGGCGCCCCTTTAAGACACACTGTGGTGGGTATTGGCGCCCTTTTAAGACACATTGTGGTGGGTACTGGCACCTTTAAATAAAAAGTGTGGTGGGTACTGGCACCTTTTAAGACACTTTGTTGTGGGTGCTGGCACCTTTTAAGACACTTTGTGGTGGGTACGGGCGCCCTTTTAAGACACTGTGTGATGGGTACTGGCACCTTTTAAGACACTTTGTGGTGGGTACTGGCACCTTTTTAAGACACTTTGTGGTGGGTACTGGGGCTCCTTTAAAACACTTTGTAATGGGTACTGGCGTCCTTTTGAGACACTCTTTGGTAGGTACTGGCGCCCATTTAAAACACTCTGTGGTGGGTACTGGCGCCCCTTTAAAACACTTTGTGGTGGGTACTAGCGCTCTTTTAAGACACTTTGTGGCGAGTACCGGCACCTCTTTAAGACATTTTGTGGTCGGTACTGGCGCCCTTTTAAGATACTTTGTTTTGGGTACCTTAACTTTCTTAAGACAATTTGTGGGGAGTACCAGGGCCGTTTTAAGACCTCTGTGGTGTGTACTGGCACCATTTAAATATACTTTGTAGTGAGTACTGGCACATTTTAAAGACACTTTGTGGTGAATACTGGCACATTGTTTAAATCCACTTTGTGGCGAGTTATAGCACTCCCCCCCCCCCCTTAAAAATTGATTTGGGTAGAAGACATTAAAATGCATACCGTAAATAAAAAGTGGTTATGTCTGTGTGTTCTTCACATTTATCCTTGGCTCCAGTCGACCTAACCTAAATTAGATATCAGGTAAGCTAACGTCCTACGAAGTAAAGGCGACCGGAGTGATGCTGACCATGTCACGCATACTGGTCGAGAAATATATGAGTGTAGCATCATATGCCCCATTGTAACGAGGGTTATTTACTGTAATTACTTTATACTAATTAGGGGATGTACTGTGGTAATTACAACATTAAATGTGACTAGATAGCTCAATCGAGGGAATGGAAAAGACGCGCAGGAATACAGCCTTACGTTACGACCAAAGTCCTAATCAACCGAGTACTAAACATACCACAAACTGTCACTGGAAAACTCATCGGGCAAGAAAATAGAGCTTTTAAATAATAAGCAAAAAACCAAGAAATACATAACTAGAAAAAGGGCGCTATGCATATGAAGGGCTATATTGCGAAACAAATTAAGTACGAAGGCATTTAAGAAAAAAGGGGACAATGTATGGCGCACGGCCAACTCTAGATATAAATAGGCCAACTGGGTCAAAGGGGATTCCAGTTCTTGTGCCAGAATTGAGTCCCTCTGTGTTAACAGTTTTTATCGAGGAGATGTATACACAAATTAAACTACAGTTTCATTATTTTTC